ACAGAGGCACCCCCCCCATCCTGGAAAGGGGTCTTTTGGTCAGACCATCCAGAGGGTGATGATTACAGGGGAGGCTGAAGCAGGTCTTTTCAGAAGTGGAGGTGTCCTGGACCCTCAGTGTGGGAGGGTCTCAAAGAGACCCCAGGCCTCCGCTCTACTTGGATGCCTCTGGTGACAGGAGGCTCAGGACTTAACGGGCATCGAGTTCATTTCAGACAGTAGTAGGGGAGCCCCGGCAACTGAACAACTGAACAACAATGATGAGGAGGGACCCCCAGAACTCCGGGCTACCTGTTTCCTGGAGCTCCTGGCCATTGCTGTGACCAGCAGTTCGCTGTCCCTAGCCTGCCCCCTCCCCTTTCCTGGGAGCCCCTCCTCAGCCCTGAGTCTCCATGGGGGAGCAGCAATAGCATCAGCCACTGCCCTGCAGCCCCAGGGAAGGAAAAGCTTCTACTTACTGGAAATTTTTACCAGCTTTCTATTTCATTCCTTCCATATGCCGGGCCTTGTGCTAAGTGATCTACATTTTGTTTTAATAATGCATGAAAAATCATGCAAGGTAACTAGATATTACTCCTTTTTTTTTCCCACTAGGGAAGCTGTTCCCCATTTGGCCTATTCCTAGTAACTTGGCCACGGCCTCTCCCTGCAGCCCTGGGGAGGTCACTCTCCCTGGAGGTCTGGGACCCCAGAGCCGAATCACTTCAGCATCAACCTCCTCAACCCAATCATGGTGCAGATGGGTAAACTGAGGCCCAGGAGCTGAGTCACACAGATGAGATAAAGGCAGGACTGGGACTGGCCCCGCCCCCAGGCCTGCACCGAATCGCTGTGACGTGATTCCACCCTGGGCGTGGCCTCAGGACTCAACCCAGGATCTACTCTGGTTAGGACAGGCCGAGTTAGGACAGGCAGCATTGTGCAGATGTCTGTCCTGTTGGTTAGGGCAGTCTACCTCACCCTTTTGGTTGGCTGAGTAAATCGCCCCCTTTCCTACTGGCTTGGAGACCACACCAAGTTGTGGCCACCGGCAGGAGCCCAGGGGAGGGTGTGCATGGTCACCCTGCTGTGAATGCCCTTGGCATGTTGGTGACTTAAAGGCCCGGCCATGTGGGGGTCGTGTTTTCACTTGCAGAGAGCCTAGCTGGTCACTGCCCCTGTCGCAGGTGAGGACGTGTGTGCTGGGTCTCATGAGAGCTGGTGGCTGGACTCGGGCTCCGGGGAGGAGTCACAAGGAGGCTCCCGGCTGGGCTGAGCCCCCTAGGACTGGCCCCCTGTGGTCCTGATGGCCCGGGGCTGCCCGACCCTCTTCCTGCTGCGCTGCCGAGGCTGCCTGGGGGCAGCTCCGGGCACTGGCCTCCCTCGGGGGATCCCAGCACAGGGGCACTGTTGGGGCTTGAGGAGGAGGACATGAAACAGCTCTGCAGAGGCCGGGGCTCGGGGCACACTTGGTTCCTGTGGATTTTGCCTTTCTGCCAGGTGGGGCTGAGGCTCTGCGTGCCCGGCGTCACTGGCTGGCCCCGTGCCGGTGACTGGGCTGCTGTCCTCAGGGACACTCGGCCCCGTGTGCTGCCGCTTTGGAACTGGGGGTGACACCTCACCACACCTCGCACTGCCTGGCCTTTCAGGGCCCCTGGCCGCTCCCCCTGGACATACTCCACCCTGACCGTGGCCTGTGGGGGAGTGGGCCACAGCCCGCCGTACTGGACAGAGCTCACTTGTCCTTGCTGGGTCTCCAGGGCCCCCTGGGAGGGGGAGGGACGGGAGAAAGCAGGTGCCCTATGCGCCAGGTCCTGCCCGCCCCCGGGTTCCCCTCCTGGGAGTCCGGGGGCCACCCTCCTAAATGGGAAGGATGGAGCATCAGGTGGGCCCCTCTGCCCCATAGAGGCCTTGCTTCTGCCTGAGTCCCCACCTCTTCAGCCTGGAAACTAAGCCCCTCTTGCCTGCCCTCATCTGAGTCTCGGGTGCTGCTCCATCCACTCATCTCCTGCCTGTGGGCTTCCAGCCCAGGGAGGTCAGTCCTGTTGAGCTGGCATAGACCTAGCTCAGAGGCTGTCCAGGGCCCACGTCCCCAGCAGGACTGCCTGCTCCGTGTGAGTGTGACCCACAAGTGAATGTGACGGCCAGTTTCACCTTCACACCCGGGGGGCGACCAACACTGCCTGCTTCCCCACCCTCCTTCCTCAGGCACAGACCCCGAGCTGGGTCTCACTGTGGGCCTCCAAGCCTCAGTTTCTTTTCTGGGTTTTCTTTTCTGTTTGTTCCTAAAACATCACCAAAGTAACACATTGCAGACATGGCATCGAGGTCCATCGGGGCTGGGAGGGTCTCTGTGAGAAGCAGCCCCACCCGTGCCTCCGACTCTGGAGTCCCCGTGTCCTGGTTTGTCTGCACCACTTAGCTCCCCCTGGGACAGTCAGCTTGTCCGCACCGTCGCGCCATCAACGACACCTCAGCACTTGACACTTTTCTCCCGTCTTCCTGCCATGCTTTCTGTGTGTTGATTAATGTAGTGTGTTGTTTACAACAGCAGGACTGGTGAATAGTCTTTCCTGCTGCTCGAGTGCACTCTGCTTCTGTGTTGTTTTTTTTAATATTTATTTATCTGGCTGAGTCGGGTCTTGGTTGCTGTATGTGGATCGTTGTTTATCACGTGGATCTTTCCTTGGGGCTCACAGAGCCTCTAGTTGTGGTGCTTGGGCTTAGTTGCCATGTGGTGTGTGAGATCTTAGTTCTATGACAGGGATCAAACCCTCATCCCCGGCACTGGAAAGTGGATTCTTTCCCTCTGGACCATCAGGGAAGTCCCTATATTTTCCTTCTTGTAGAAGATTTTATCAGAAATAACTGACAGCTGATGTGTGGGTTCATCACTGATCTCTGATTAAAGCCTCGGATGGACGCTTCTCTGCAAGCTTCCGGCCTTGCAGCACTGTCTTGCCCCTGGGTGGGTCCCCTCCACTGCCCTCTGATGGCGGGGGGGGTCCTCCTCCAGGCAGCCCCAGGGTCCTCCTGGGACCCCTTCACCGTCCTCTGGCTGGGACACCACCCATGTCTTCCTCATGTGTGGAGCACAGGTTTCCGCCTCTTCCAGAGTCTTCCTGGGTCTCCCTTTCACCCTCCCCCGGGCTGTGGTTTGCCTGAACTCAGAGTTCTGGGCTGAATGTTGCCACTGTTGCTCAGCAATCCGAAAGTGTTTCTTCCTCCAGTGTCCATGAGATGACGGTGCCATTCTGAGTCTCCCTCCTCTGTGGCCTGCTTTTCTCTTGGGAATCTTCCCTTTAGCCTGCAACTCTTGAAAGTTCACCATTTGCTGTGGTTTATGACCTTTTATAGCAGGTGGGGTAGGTAGACCTCTGAATTTGGAAACTCATGACTGGCAATGCTGGGAAATTTTCTTGAATTATTTCTTTAATAGTTTCTTTTCATCGATCCTCAAATTTTATTTCTTTTCTAGCATGGAAAATTACTTAATTTCCAAGCTTTTTGTTTACTTTTAAAGGTTCTGTTTTTATATTCTTAATTTCCAAGAACTTTTTCTTACTCATTCAAAGTTTCTTTTAACAACAGTATCCTTCCCTTGCTCGTGGATGAGTGACTTTTCTTTCTGAGGATGAGAATCACAAAGCATTTAACATCTGTGGCTCAGAAGGTAAAGAATCTGCCTGCAGTGCAGGAGACCTGAGCTCCATCCCTGGATCGGGACGATCCCCTGGAGGAGGAAATGGTAACCCGCTCCAGTATCCTTGCCTGGCAGGCTGCGGCCCATGGAGAGTCGGACACGACCGACACTTTCCTGCTCCGTCTCTTCCTATTGTGCTCCCCCTCTTCGTTTTAGCCTCTGTGTGTCTCACTAGAGGGTGTGACCCTGCTCAGTCTGCCTGGCGGCCAGCACGCTAGAGGCCCTGCAGCAGGAGCGGGAGGCTGGGGTCCCCCTGCCAGCCATCTCACTGGCTCTTCACATCCACCCTCAGCTGGTCCTCAGAGCTCCAGGCTGCAGAGCCTCAGTCTCCCCGAGGGTGGCCTCCTGCCGGGCGGTGGTGGTGGGGTTGGGGGGGCACGTCCTGGAGTTCACTGGTAGGGGTGGGGGTCTCAGGGTCTTCATTGCTCTGCTCGAGCTAACAGCTGCTGTCACAAAGTAGCACAGACCGAGGGCTTAGACAACAGGAGTGTATTGTCTCTGAGTCTGGAGGCTGGATGTCGCGGACCAACGGGTCAGCAGGCTGGTTCCCTCTGAGGCTGTGGGCGAAAACATTGCCTGTGGTCTCCTGCCTTCAAAAAAAAAAATGTTTCTTGACTTATTTTTGGTTGTGCTGTGTCTCTGTTGCTGTGTTGGCTTTTCTCTGGTTGTGGCGAGCAGGGTTACACTCTAGCTGCGTTGTGCGGGCTTCTCTTTCTGCAGGGCACAGGCTCTAGGGCGCGTGAGCTCACTGGAGGTGGTGTGGAGGCTTAGTTGCTCTGCCGTGTGGGATCCTGGACCAGTGGTCAAACCCGTGTCTCCTGCCCTGGCAGCTGCAGTCTCCTGCACCCGAGCCGCCGGTGAAGCCCTGCCTTTAGGTGGTTTTCACCCAGTCCTCACCTGGCCGGCCCCATCTTTTCTTCATGTGGGGCTCCCCCATGTGCATTTCTCTAAGTTGCCTTGGGCAGCCCCACTCAGCCTGTGACTGCAGAGGCACCTGCCGTCTTTCCCGTCCCGGAGTGAATTAGCTGCTTCTTGTCAGACTGCCGCTTTCTCAGGCTCCTCTCATCCCATTGACTGTCTTCCCTAAAATGCGAGGCCCTTCTCACCCACAGCCGCCCACTCTGTCCCTCCTCCTCATGAACTGGTCATCCGAGTGGGTGTCGCCGGGGGCTGGACTAGAGGGGGTTCCATGGCCAGAAATGCCTGCCCTGCCTTTCTGGATACTGTTTCTAACTCATGTCTCCCTTCTCCCCAAGGTGTCTCCCCTGCTCACTGGGGCTCCCACCGCTGCTAGGAGTGACCCACAGAGGCCGCAGAGATGGCCGGGGCCTCGGTGAAGGTGGCGGTGCGCGTCCGCCCCTTCAACTCTCGGGAGATGAGCCGCGAGTCCAAGTGTATCATCCAGATGTCGGGGAGCACCACCAGTGAGTACCATGTGCGGCCCCAGGGCCCCCTCATCCACACCATGCGTGGTTTCCTGGGGCTGCAGGAACAGAGGCCACAAATTGGGTGGCTTAAAACCGCAGTAGTATATTCTCTCGCAGTCGTGGGGGCCAGAGTTCAAACCCGAGGTGCTGATGGGGGTGCCTCCTGGTTGTGGTGCCGGAGGAGGACTCTTCCTGCCTCTTGTGGCCTCCGGCGACGGCCATGCCTGCACACCCCTCCCCTGCTCCATCGTCACGGGGCTTCTCCCCTTCATGTCTGGGTCTCTGTGTGGCCTCGTACAGACACTGACCACTGGACTTAGGAGCAACCCTGATCCAGTGTGACCTCATTTCAACAGCTACGTTCATCTTCAGAGATCCTGCTTCTCCCATTCTGAGGTTTGGGGGAGACGTGAATTTGGGGAGGGTACTTTTCAGCCCAGGACACAAGGTTCTTGATTTCTTATCTTGTGTGTGCTCTTTATTTCTAATTGTAAGTCATCTCAAACCTTTCTGAGAAGTAGGAGGCATGGGGTCGACAGGAAGACGTAGTGAGAGAGAGGGTGGCGGTTCTGAGAGGGTCAGTGTGGCCTGCAGGCCCCTCCAGGGCACATACCAGGCTGCTGGAGTCTCAGAGATTCAGCCTTGCGCCCGCGTGCTCTGGGGCCTCTCTGTTGACTTGGGGCATGTCATCAGAAGAGTGGACAGGGCATGTGATCCCAGGGAGAGTGGAAAGGGTGTGTGCTCCCCGAGAGAGGGGACAGGGCGCGTCCTCCCGGGGAGAGGGGATGGAGCGCGTGCTCCCGGGGAGAGGGGACAGAGTACGTGCTCCTAGGGAGCACTGAGCCATTCCCATACCAAGAAGCAGGGTGTTGCTGACACCTGGAGGCCCGTCCGCCCCCACCCACCTTCACCCACCCTAGAGTAGGCATCTTTGCTTCTCACATTGGGGGCCAGCAGGCTTGTTTGGGGCCCCAGAAGTGGAACCAGCATTTGGATCACCTCCTGCTGACCAGGAGCCCAGCCCCACGCTTGGTGTCAGGTGGGAATTCTTCGTCTCCCAGCTGTGTGGTTGGCGTGGCTTGGCGGGCAGCTTGCACCTGGAGCTGTCGCCTGTGGGCTCCTTGGTGGAACCTGCACCCAGTGGTCCTCAGGTTGTAGGAGGAGGACGGGGAGCCCTGGGGGTGGGAGGTGGGGTGGGGGACAACTTTCGTCATCCACAGGGTTGGAGGGAGGGTCTGTCCCAGGGGAGGGGCACTCGGGGTGGATGCTGGCTGCCTCCCAGTGCTGTGAGGGCTGAGGATTTGGGCATGGCTGGGGGGTGTCCTGTCCTGGGGGTGTCATGTCCTGGAGGTGTCCTGGGGCACCACTGGGATCTGGGGAAGGGGATTTGGGCTGGGGGTCTTTGCAGGAGCCCTGGGGCATGTTGTAGAGGCCCCGGGAGGAGCCTGTGAGGGGGACTGTTGAGCATGGCACCCAGGTACATCAGGGGCTCATAGTGACTCTCATCAATGGTGGTGTCTCCACCGGGTGCCTGGCAGCAGACCTGAGATGAGGGTTCAGGTGCCCTGGTCTCACTGTGGGGGCGCAGAAGCTGCGGAGGGACGTTGGTGAGCAGGTGGCCACCACGGGCAGCAGGAACAGGGCCCAGCTTGCTGGGACCTGTTGATATAGGACACGCCTCTGGGTGACCTCCCCAGGAAGCTGGGGTCTTGTCAGCTACTGCCCCCACGCAGGCAGAGGGCTGTCCAGGGCCTGCTCTGTTAAATCTCCAGCCTGGCCCCCTTGAGGCTGGAAACGGTGTTACAGCAGGGACCCTATTTCTGTAAGGTCATAGGTCACATTCTGAGGTTCTGGTGGACATGAACTGGGGGAGGACGCTGCTCAGCCTAGGCGAGTCCCTGTGGCAGGGTGGACGCCTTCAAGGCCAGGCTATCCAGCCCCACCAGGCCCCACAGGCCCTTGCCCAGCCTGGCCTCCCTGCCTGCAAGGAGGCTGGACCCTGGCCAGCTGGGCCTGCTGTGTGTTTCAGGGAACGGACTGCCATTCTGGAAGGTCCATCGGGACCCCCCTAACGGCCGCCTCTGCCCACACAGACCCTGCTGGTTGCACAAAGGCCCTTGTTGACCAGCAGCTCGTGTGTGTTCTCAACACCCAAGTCCTCAGAGAAGTTGGCCCCACATGCCATCACTGTTCTAGAATGTTCTGGGCTCCAAACAGAGTGACCCTGGGCCTGGGAGACCATAGAAGGGAGCATGGGTGTGGCCAGGAGGTGGTGACCTGGCTGGGGGCTTGTGTATTGGAGGAATGGCTCGGACACGTGCTGTCACCGGCGGGCCCCAGGCCAGGATGCCCTGGGCACTCCCTGCCTTGAGCTGCCTCTCCCCGGGGCCCACCTGTGAGGGTCGAGACGGGCTGTCCACTTGCAGGGGCCACACGGCCTCCTTTTCTGCCTTGAGCCCCTCAGGGCCGAGGGTGCTTCCGTAGCATAGGGAAAAGGAGGCTGGGTGGGGTCAGGTCAACACCCCTCAGAACCCGGGAGAAGAAGGTGGGGGGTCCCTTCATACCCATGTCGGAGGGGACATCACTGAGCCCCAGCCTGCATCAGGCTCCATTCCCAGTGTCAGGCCTGGGGAGCAGGACTGAGGCCCTCACTGACCTGGGGGTGACATTCCCGTGGGGACTCAGACATGGAACTAGACGGGCCAGGGACAAGGACCATGCCTGGCAGAGCATTGTGAGGGCCTTGCTGGGGGCGCAGCAGCCTTGCTGGGCAGGATGACTCCTCCTGCTACCCGGAGGACCCTCCTGACATGAGCCCAGTGCCGAGAGAATGTCCCCTAGACGCCTGACACTGATGTTTCTGTCTCCGTCTCAGCGAGGCCACTTCCTAAATCTCGCAGGTGGTGAGCAGTGGCCTGTCACTAAACTAGCCCCTCACTTGCTCTGATGCACACACACACACACACACACACACACACACCCACCCTCTGTTTGCCCATTTCCATGGTGTAAATACTGTCCTTGCATCAGTTCCAAGCCCCCTGGGGTTCAACCCCAGACCCACGGAATTCCTCAGCGTTGAGCACACGCTCCTGGAAGGAGTGGAGGCGGCTCCCGGCGTGTGGGGCTTTCAGACTCCGAGAAAGCGGCTCATCCTGGTTCAGCCCCTGCCCTGCTGTTCCCGCCCCACAGTGCCCGTCTTTTCCCCTGTGTGCCCGGGGCAGGGGCGGAGGCGCTGAGTCCCTGACAAGCCCAGGCTCCCAGCCCCTCCTCAGACCCTCAGGAGGAGGAGACACGAGGCTACACAGGAAGCCCCCCTCCACCAGATCGCCTCAGTGCTGGGGGGTGGGTGCTGCCCTGTCCCCCTGGCCCAGGGAGGTTGCCCTGGTGAGGGCTCACAGGTGGTGGAGAGCAGGCCTGGACTGGACCCTGGGGAGGGCCGTCCCCTCTGGAGCCCAGGACCGTCTGTGATGGGGACATCACAGGACCCCGGGGCTAGAACAGGGTGGGGTCACAGTCACACCACGGACCCTGTGCCAGTGGGAGAGGGGGCAGGTGACAGCAGGTCCAGAGCCAGAGCAACTCCACCCGCCGGTCTCCCCACGGGCTCTCCTTGAGGCCACTCCCCACTCACTGACCCTAGCAGTGGGCTGTCCCCTGCCCACTCAAGGTTCCTTGAGCACGTCTGTGCCCTGTCCCTGGGGGGCTGGGGGCTCCAGTGCAGGCGGACACCCCAGCGCCTGGACAGCATCAACACCGGGGCAGGGGTGGGGGAAGGGGTTGCAGCCAATGAAGGAGAGGGGGCTGGGCAGGGTGGGCCGACAGGGTGGGCAGAGCTGGGGCGCTGGTGGGTGCCAGGGCCTGTGTGCACTCAGGGGGCTCTGTGATTGTCGTTTCCACGGTGCTGGCATTATCTGTGCCGAGGTTCCGGCGGCCACGTCCCCACGTCCAGCGGGAGTTGAAACCCGGGCAGCTAGTTCTCCTCTCAGCCTCACTCCTGGATGCGGCATGGATGACGTGACCCCCTTTTGGCTCCAAAGAAAAGGCTGTGATGGTCAGTCACCCGCTCCCTCCTGCCGGCCTCCCAGGGGTGCTGAGTCATCAACTAGAACTCCTCAAACCTGGGGCATGGGGCCTGGAGCCGGGTCAGCCCTGAGGACTGGGCTTCTGGTAACTCCTGGGCCGTGAGCAAGACCTTCTGGAGCACACAGTGAGGGCCCTGCCTGCCGAGCCGGTCAAGGCCAGGGTGGCCAGGGTTGGGGTGCAGGTCCCAGTGTCCCAGGGCTCCAGAGCAGAGTGCTGCAGACAGGGCCACTTAGACAATAGGTCCTGAGGCTGTTGAGTCCCAGATCAAGGTGTCACCAGCTGTGACATCAAGGTGTTCCTTCTGAGGGGGAGGAGAATCTACTCCCTACCTCTCTCACCTCTTTTTCTTGTTGCTCAGTCACTCAGTTGTGTCCAACTCTTTGTGACCCCATGGACTGCAGCACACCAGCCTTCCCCGTCCTTCACCATCTCCCAGAGTTTATTCAAACTCATGTCCATTGAGTCAGTGATGCCATCCAGCCATCTCATCCTCTTGTCGGCCCCTTCTCCTCCTGCCTGCAGTCTTTCCCAGCATCAGGATCTTTTCGAATGAGTCAGCTCTTCACATCAGGTGGCCACAGTATTGGAGCTTCAGCATCAGTGCTTCCAGGGAATATTCAGGGTAGATCCCTTTAGGATTGACTGGTTTGATCTCCTTGGAGTCCAGGGGACTCTCGAGAGTCTCGTCCAAACCACGGTTTGAAAGCGTCAGTTCTTCGGCGCTCAGCCTTCGTTATGGCTCTCACCTCTAGTGGTTTCTGGAGATGCTGGTGTCTGCTGGCCTGCAGAAGCGCGGTCGCGGTCTCCGCCTCCATCTTCACGCGGCCTTCCCCATGTGTGTGTCTGTGGCACGTCCCTTTATAAGAACACCAGTCCCGTGGTGTCAGGGCCATCCACTCCAGTGCCCCCTCCTCCTTACCAGGCCCACTTGCCAGACCCTGTCTCCAAATAACGTCACATCCTGTGTCCTGTGGTCAGGACTCCATGCGTGAATTCTGACAGGGGTCAGGACTCAGTGATGTGTGAATTCTGAGGGCCGTAACTCAGCCTGCTGCAGGGGTGGGGTCTGCTCTCTCAGTGAGAGTTATAGGTCACCCAGGACATGGCTGGCAGGGCAGGGTGTGGGGTCCTGGAGCTCAGGAAGGCGAGGGCCCCAGCCCCCGGCAGCTGAGGAAAGCCGGTCCAAGGGGTGGGCAGCATGGCCTGCATCTCCAAGTACGGGGAGGAGGGTGCCGCGCTCCTCAAATGGGATGCCATGGTGGGGAGTGGCCTGGAGCCCTCTGCCACTGGGACGGCCTGAGTTCCTGAGGGAGGTGTGTCCCTGCAGGGCAGCGCTAACCATTATGCCTGTCTCCCTCCCTGCAGCCATCGTTAACCCCAAACAGCCCAAGGAGACGCCCAAAAGCTTCAGCTTCGACTACTCCTACTGGTCACACACCTCGGTAAGCCCAGGGCTGGGGTTCCAGGGGGGTGGAAGCCAGCTCCGCCCTGCTCACTGTGTGATCCTCCGCCAGTCCCTTGACCTCTCTGAGTCCGTGGGGTGAGGGACCCACCCGCTCCCCTGCAGGACCGATGTGGGAGGTGTGGGCCTAGGTGGAGGCCCGTGGGGAGGGGCCTGCTGTCCTCAGTTGTCTTGTGCTACATGCACTGTCCCCTGCTGTGACAGGGACCAAGGGGCTGTCAGCGCACCAGGGGCAGTTTCCCAGGGTCTGAGTTGTACGCCCACTTGCCCACCAGCCTCTCCTCTTCCCCAGACATCCCAGGCTCAGTGTCCGAAGCTGATCCTGCCCACCTGATACCGGCCTGCCCACGCCCTCCTCCACTCCACTTCCCCTGGGAGCCTGGGAGAACTCTGGGCTTTTCACCCCCCACCTCCTCCATCCAGTCCACACCCAGTCCTGCCATCCCCCAGCCCCCTGCATCCTAGAAGGTGTCCAGGCCCTCTGCCCCTGGGCCAGGGCCCACCTTGAGTCACATCTCTGAGAGCCTGGTCCCAGGGCTCCCCATTTCACCTTCCAGCCCCTCCTCTCCCACAGTCAGGGTACCCCTGGCCCTGCCTAAAGTGACCGCTGTCTTCAGGACAGTGTCCAGGGGTGATAGCCCAGCCTATGGGCCCCTACCCTGCTGCCTCTCCAGTCCCACCTTGTCACTCCACGGCCGCCACACCAAGCTTGGTTTCAGGCACCACGTTATGTACTCCCACCTCCCAGCCTTTGCACATGCTGTTCCCTCTGCAGAAATGCCCTTCCCTCTGTGAGGCCCTAGCCTGATGGCTTCTCCTACCGCTCCCTCCGGAAGCCCCCCCACCCATTATTTCCCCCCTCCAGGTGTCCTGTGAGGGGGTGGGCGGGCAGGCGTCCTCTCCACCGCACTGGCCCTGGCCCCCAGAAGCCCATGGTGCGATGCGGGTGCTCAGAGAACCTGGCGGGTGGAGGTCTCGGCACCCCAGCCTCCTGCAGCTTCTCCCCTCTCCTCCTGCAGCCGGAAGACATCAACTACGCCTCTCAGAAGCAGGTGTACCGCGACATCGGCGAGGAGATGCTGCAGCACGCCTTTGAAGGCTACAACGTCTGCATCTTCGCCTACGGACAGACTGGGGCTGGCAAGTCCTACACCATGATGGGCAAGCAGGAGAAGGACCAGCAGGGCATCATCCCGCAGGCACGTGGCGGGGGGGGGCGGGTCCTGCCGAGGGCTGCGCGGATGGGGTGTGGTCTGAAGATGGCTGGGGCAGGACCTGGGGCGGGGCCTGAAGAAGGCTGTGCAGATGGAGTGTGGTCTGAGGCCCGGGGAGGGCGGGGCCTGGGAAGGGCGGAACAGGCCCCCCGGAGAGCAGGGACCAGGAGGAGGTTGGGGCCTGGGCAGGAGGCAGCATGGGGCAGACTGGCTGTGAAGAGGCTGGAGACCCAGGTCCATGGATGGGGAGCTGCGGGAGGGGCCCAGTCCTGGCCAGCGACCACCGCGGTCACACCCATGACAGGAAGGCTGGGACAGCTGCTGGTGGGGTCAGCCTTTCCTGGGGAGAGCTGTGAGGGCTGGTGGTCCAGGCAGGGAGAGGTGCTCAGGACAGAGGATGCCCGCTAGGCAGGTCTCCAAATCTGAGCTGGTCAGTACTGGACTTGGTCAGGGAGGGGAGAATGTCAGGTGGTCTGCAGCATGGTAGATCCTCCACCTCATGCAGGTGAGGATGGTGGGAGGAGCAGGAGAGGATCAGATGTCAGCCGGGGGCCCCTGAGTTATCAGAAGACAGTGACTCCTTGGCTGCAGGCCTTCTCCGTGCCTTTAAGGTGGACCATGAGGGTGTGGGAGGGGCTTGGGGAGCAGAATCCTTGCTGGGGTGCAGGAGCCCAGCACCTCGAGAAGCAGGGCTCTGGGGTCAGCCCAGCCTCACATCTGACCGTGTCCTCTATCCCGGCAGCTCTGCGAGGACCTCTTCTCCCGCATCAACGACACTACCAATGATAACATGTCCTACTCCGTGGAGGTAGGTCTCCCCGCCACCTGTCCCTTGGAGTATGGCTTTTCTGACCAAAAGCCAATCCCCCCACTGGTCTGTGCCCTTATCTTGTCATTCTTGCATGTATGTTGCAAATGTGCCTGCCCCACGCTGGACACTGGAAGGGGCAGTGTTATCTCCATGGTGTTTATTGAGCAGCTACTCTGAGCTGCATGGTTTGGGCTGGGCTGTGGCCAAGGTGGCCCCAGTGTGACCTCCTTGGGCCAGCCGGCAGCATGGCTGTGGGTGGGCAAGGCCAGGCAGGCGGGGGTGGGCTGATACCTCTACTTACACATTCCAGCAGGGGCCCTGGTCCCAGTGGGTGACTTGGGCACATGGTGTACCCTATTTCCCCCACCTTGGGGGTCCCTGATGCCAACTCTGTCCTGCAGGTCAGCTACATGGAGATTTACTGTGAGCGTGTCCGTGACCTCCTGAACCCCAAGAACAAGGGCAACCTACGTGTGCGGGAGCACCCGCTGCTGGGTCCCTACGTGGAGGACCTGTCCAAGCTGGCGGTCACCTCCTATAATGACATCCAAGACCTCATGGACTCAGGGAATAAGGCCCGGTGTGTGCGAGTGATGCGCCCACCCTCCCTGCCCACCCCATCACAAGTGCAGCCTTGAGTCTCTCTGAGGAAGACCAGGCCTTGGGGTGCCTGTTGGTGTCCTCATGGGGCTTGTCCAGGGACCCCATTGGGCCTAAGGCCATTTAGGGCACATGCCTGCCTGTGAGGGACCTCCAGCTCGCCCAGTACAGGAGATACCATCACCTACACAGGGCCTGCTCCTCCTAGAGGCTCTGGCTATGGCTACCCTGGGTGGGGCCAGGCTGTGAGGCCCAGCTCTGCCTGCTCGGGGCGTGTAGAGAGGGTTAGCCTCAAGGCACTGCCAGCCACAGCTATTGGTCTCCATGGCTGCAATGCCCTGGACCTCCCAGCCCAGGAGGATCTGCCCTGGTTGTCATGGCAACAGCCACCCGTCTGCTACCTAGGGGCTCCTGGGAGGGTGAGGAAGACTGGGTGGGCAGCCGACACCTGGCACTCAGTTGTAGCCCCGCGGGGACCTCTCTGCAAGGAGCTAGCAGGCAGTGAGCCCAGCCTGGGGGCTTCCCTGGGGTCTCTGCATGTTGGTGGCATTGGGTCCAACACTGGCCTCTGGTCAGGCAGCCTCAGGCCTTCTCCTGGAGCAACTGGCATGGGATGTGACAGTGGACCCCTCTTTCCCTTCCTGGGGGGCCTTTCCACATCACTGCCCACAGACCACTGCCCCACGCGTTGAGTGAGCAATAACTGGGCTCTGTTGAACCCCTGGAAGCCGAGAGACCCCCTAGTCACAGCTCCCCAAGTGCGAGGCTTGAACTGGAGGCTGCAGGAGCCACAGTGGATGAGGTGGGCAGGTGGCGTGGGCCCTGCCCGAGCTCTGACAAGACGGCCCCGGCAGACGTCTCATGTTCTCGCCTGCGGCCCTCACGTCTGACCATGGGAGGTCAGGTGACCGTGTGTGGCTTCTGTTCCCCAGGACGGTGGCGGCCACGAACATGAATGAGACCAGCAGCCGCTCCCACGCCGTGTTCAACATCATCTTCACGCAGAAGCGCCATGACGCGGAGACCAACATCACCACGGAGAAAGTGAGCCAGCTGTGAGGGTCGGGTGGGGCAGGGCGGCGGTCAGGCGGGGCGAGGAGGCCAAGCTGGATATTAACTGCAAGGTGCAGGTGGCACCTTCACGGGGCACTGACAGCCCACTACCCAGCCTGGGCCACGGTGAGAGTCTGGCAAGGCCTGAGAGGCCACCTCATCTCGGCCTTTGGTGCCACCTGGGTGTGGCTGGGACTCAGCTGAGGGGCTGTGGCCTTAGATCAGCTTCCCGCCAGGTAGTTATGGTGCAGACTTTGGGGCCTGGGAAGGGTGTCCCCTGGGCTGCATCGCAGGACAGCCCCGCTGCCTGGGGACGCCTCGGGGCCCTCACAGGGCGGAGTTGAAGGCCTCAGGTTGAGTGAGTGCTCGTCACCGGCTGACCGTGGCTGCGGTGCAGGCTGGGGACACCCCCCGACTGTGGGTGCCGGCATCTGTGAGCACAAAGGAGAGCTTGTGCTGAGCACCCTGCCGTGCCCCCCACCCCAGATGCCGCTCCCACGCACCCTGGCCTTGTGAGAGGACCAGGACAGGGCCTCGTCTCCTGGGGTCCTTACCAGACACACTGACCGAGGGTGCCGGATGGGGCAGGGGGCGGGCGCCCTCCGTGGCCCTGACCCTAAGCCTCCTGTTATCTCTGACAGCCCCCACGCCCACCCTGCCATCCAGGCCCTGTTCCGGGACTGCTTGGCTGCCTCCTGTGGACAGGGTTCTCTCAGGCAGCCCCCTGGGCTCTGCACAGGGGCTCCTCAGTCCCTGATGATGCCAGGGTCGCCTTGGCCTGGCAGCGTCTTCCCGGGGGCCTGGGAGGGTGGGAGCGCAGAACTGGGCCTGAGCCGGCCTGGCTGCGGGCTGCCTGCCGCTCCTACACCTCAGGCTCTGGGCGCTGGGGGGTCCTGCGCGCAGCCTCTGTGGCTCTGAAGGGCGTGGACCTCCCCCAGGAGCATGTGGCGGCCCGCCCAGGCTGAGCGAGTGCAGGGGTCCCTCCCCATTGCTGGGGCAGCTCTGCGGGTAGCTGCACCCCCACAGGCCAGCTGAACAGTGGCAGAGGGGCTCCCTGAACTGGGTTCAAATCCCACCGTGCAGTGAACCTGGCCTGTGGAGTGGGTTTCAGTGATGGTGACGTGCGGGTGAAGAGCAGCCAGCACGCAGGGGGCAGCGGGGCGCCAGGTGTGGGGGGTGGGGTGCAGCCTCCCAGGGGCAGTGGGCTCCCATGGCAGAGCAGCAAGAGCTGACAGTGGATGACATTGGCCCGGGAGGGTGGGCCCTGCAGGCCGCACCCCAGGGGACAGGCCCCACTGGGCATCCAGCTCCTGCGTGTGACGCCTATGTCCTCACAGGTGAGCAAAATCAGCCTGGTGGACCTGGCTGGGAGTGAGCGGGCCGACTCTACGGGGGCCAAGGGCACGCGCCTGAAGGTAGGGCTGCCCCCAGGAGGGTCTGCACCTACTACCACCGACTGCCCAGCGGGGCCTGACGCCCGGGTGGTCTGAGGGGAGGGGGACAGCGCAGCTCAGGGGAAAGTGGACTGACACCCAGTGGGGTGGCGGGGAGGGGAGTTGATTTCCTATGCCCCCTTTGGTCCTGCCATCATGGGATGGGGAGGGTGGGAGGGTTCACGGGGCCCCCAGGACAGGGGGCCTCCATCAGGGCAGCCTGGCTCAGGTCGGGGTCCCACGGGAGGAGGAGCTCCGAGGCCACCTGACACCAGCCGCGTCATCCCCTGCAGGAGGGAGCCAACATCAACAAGTCCCTGACCACCCTGGGCAAGGTCATCTCCGCGCTGGCCGAGATGGTGAGTGGGCCCGGGCTACCGCTTGGGGGGCAGGGCAGGGGTGGGGGACACTGGGAGCGGCCCCTTGCCCAGGCCCTGTCCATGCTGTGGGCTGGGCTCACGGGAAAGCCGCAGAGTGTGGGGAGGGAGTCCCCGGCTGGAGGCGGAGCCGGGACCCCATCGTTCCTCAGAGCCTGTGAGACCGGGATGTGCCATCTCCCTCACAGGCCCTGAGGGTGGCCTTGGGCTCCAGTGCTATGACCCCGGGTGCCCCCCAGGCCGCCCCTCAGGAGGAGCTGAGACTCTCGAGTGAGGGCTCGGCCTGGTGGAGGATGTGGGGTGTGTGAACTCAGATGCCGCTCCATCCTGCTCTGAGGGCTGAGGGCAGAGCAAGGGCCGGCGGCCGTGACGGGCAGCAGTGGGGTGCAGGGGGGTATGGGCAGAGCTGGGGCCTTCGCCCCAGGCCCAGAGCTCTGTCCTCAGACTCTGTGTTTGCTTTTGCAGGATTCTGGGCCCAACAAGGTAAGCAGCGCTTCCTCTCTTCTGGGGGAAGGTCTCAGCCCTTGGTGGGGAAGGGGGAGGCGGTGGAGCCTAGGACACAGCAGCCCTGGTCGGAGCTGGGCCGGGCCCGTGAGCGGAGAGCAGGCTGCGGGGTGGATGAGAGATGGCAGGAGACTAGGAGATAATCATGAACTAACAGGGACGAGCACAGGGATGAGCCTCGTAAAGGACAGGGCCGGGCTGTGAGGGTGACCCAAGTGGGCGCCTCTTGTCGGCATGGCCTGGGGGGCGTCACGGGAGAGGCGGCCCCAGGGCGCCTGGGGGGCATGGAGGAGCTGAGCGGGCAGGCAGTGCCCCTGTGCAGCCCTGAGTCCTGAGGCGTGAGGTGGGAAGAGCTTGGTCAGTGTGGGGGGCAGTGGGAGGACACGGGCATTAGGGCTCATGAGAAGGCAGGAGAGGGACCACATAAGCATCTGAGAGGAACTAGCTCAACTGTGAAGGTGCCATGCGGATGTGTGTGAGCAGCTGGGAGAGGAGGCGCGTGCCATGGCAGGGGATCCAGAAGTGGGTTGTGAGGAGCTCTGTGAGGAGGTGAGAGATCACAGAAACGGGACACTGTGTGTACAACCGTGAGGAACCGTGAGAAGCTCTGGGGCAGGTGTCAGGGCCTGTGTAGAAGTGTGAGGAAAGGCAAGTGCAACTGTTGAAGAACTGTGGGTGAGTGTGGATTGTGTCGGGGGAGGTCAGCACATGACCCTGTGAGGAGACAGAGGGTCTCTGGGAATTGTAAGGAGCTGTGTGAAGACCGAGAAACTGTGTGTGGAAGGTGCGGGAATTATGTGCAGAGCTGGAAGTCTGACGGTGTGTGTGGAGCTGTGTGAGGAAGCATGTGAAGCTGCGGCTCAGCGGGAGGGTCTCTGAGGACCATGGAGTGCCCGTGAGAGGAAGTGGATAAGGACCCGCTGTGTGAGGAGGTATGAGTCATTGTGTGAGACGCTGAGAGAGCCATGAGGAAACGTTAGACCGTTAAACCGCTAGCAACAGTGTGGGACGGTGCTGGGACCAGCGCAAAGGCCTGGGAGGAGGGCTGTGTAAGAAGGTGTGAGGAGCGTGTGGGAACTGTGTGCAAAATTGTGAGGAATCGTGTGGACTCTGGGGAGCTGAGGAAATGTGAGATGAAGTGTGTGAGATGGTGTGAGGAGCGTGAGGGACGTGTGTGTGGAGCTTGTGAAGAACTGTATCTGGATGTTGTGAAGAATCGTGGTGAATGATGAGAGGAACTGTGTGAGGAGTTGTGTGGGGACCAGAGAAGTGTGTGAGATGGTGTGAGGGGCGTGAGGGACGTGTGTGTGGAGCTTGTGGTGAATGATGAGAGGAACTGTGTGAGGAGTTGTGTGGGGACCAGAGAAGTGTGTGAGATGGTGTGAGGGGCGTGAGGGACGTGTGTGTGGAGCTTGTGGTGAATGATGAGAGGAACTGTGGGAGGAGTTGTGTGGGGATGCGTGTGAGTGACCTGTAGGAGCTGTGAGGAGCTGTAAGGGATCCCGTGACAAACGGCGACAAGCTGGGGAAACACGAGAAACTGTGTGAGGCAGTGCAGGAACTCAGGTGAGAAACTGAAGGATGGCGTGATGAGCCGTGCCAGTAGCTCAGCCAGCAGAGCGGGAGGAACCATGTGGGGAACCATGTGAAGGACTGAGGAGGGGACTGTCAGGCGCTGTGGTGACTCCCAGGAGCTGAGCAAGAAGGTTTTGAGGAGCCAGTTGAGGGTCAGCCCTGGATGCAGGAGTGTGGGTGCCTGCAGGTGCTGAGGCCTGAGGGCCAGGCATGACCTGCTCCCCAGCGGTGTCAGGAAGCAGCTGGCTGGGGTGTGGTGGGAGGTCGCCATGGGTCGGCTGCGGGCTGGTGAAGACTGGCGGCATCTGGATGCGCCCTCGGGCTGCTGTGTAGGGAGCAGCCGGTGGGGGTGGCCGGGTGGCAGGCAGGGCAGCAAGGGTCACGGGGGCGAAGGTCCCGGGGCTGAGGTGCTCGGGCCACGCCAACGGAGCAGAGGGAAGACCTGTGAGGGAGCTGCCAGCTAGGCCCCCTCATGCGGTGACTGCGTGACCACGGGGCATTTACTGTGGGAATGGGTCTGACAAAGGCAGCAGAGAGTCACCCTTGAGGGTAAAGTAATAGAAACACAAGGTGGACATCGAGTCTGTCACCACCAAGTTTGCAAAGGAAAGCCTCCTGGGCCGAGGAGGAGCTGCGGGGATCGGACGCTCTCAAACCCACTCAGTAACCCTACCCCACGGCTGGTCTCGGGGACTTCCAGGACTCTCGGTCCTGCAGGTTCCGGGCCTGAAGAGCAGCAGCCCGTGTCTGTGTGATTCCTGAGGGGCCTGGGACAGACAAGGGGGAGGCTGAGGAATGTGCTGGCAGGTCCCCAATTCCAGTCCTAGCAGGGGCGCCCAGGGTCTGGGGGGAGAGGCTGTGAGGGCAGGCCCAGCCCCGAGCCCTGGGCAGCCAGCCCGTGCACCCCGTGCCTGCCCCCCTGACCCCACCTCAGGTGGGCTCGGGGCTGACCTTGGACGTCTGTGTCCCATAGAACAAGAAAAAGAAGAAGACAGACTTCATTCCCTACAGAGACTCAGTGCTGACCTGGCTCCTCCGGGAAAACCTAGGTGAGGGCTCACCCGGCCTGGGATCTGACACTCACCATGGGTGCCACCTTCGCCCCTGCTCTGCCCCGGAGGGCACCCATCCTTCCCCGGCTGAGCGGCGGGCCCAGGGGCTCCTCCCGGGGACCAGGGTGGTGTCAGCAGTGGGTTTACGCCACCAGGCTGGGGGCAGGTGACCCTCGGGGCCGCAGGTCTGCAGCCCTTACGTTGGTGCCCCCAGCTCGGGGCAGTGGCGCCCTACCCGTCACAGGGACTTGCCTCCCCCAGTCTGGTGACCCCTGGGAGCCCTGCTGGCTGTCCGGAGCTGCCTTGCTTCTCCGCCCTCCCCTTCAGCTGAGCTCTGAGCCAGTGAGAGGGAGATGGAGCCTGAAACACCCCAACACCCATGTGTTCTGCCCAAAACGACCTTGGGGTCCTCGCTACCTACCTTTACAGAAGGGTGCGGGGGCTGGGGGGACTGATGTCCAGAAGGGTAAACTGACTTCCAGTGGTTGTGGACAGCTGGGGCTCTGGGGCCTTCCTCGGCTGCACACCCAGGGGCATGACCCTGACCCCCAGAAGCAGCCTGGCTGGTCTCTGGCGTGGGCCACATCGGGTGCAGCGCCAAGCCTCCCGGTGGAGAAGAGGGCAGTGGGAGATGGGGGAGGGGAGTGCCCCCCGGCGGGGAACATGAGAGTCATAGGAGTGTGTGTCCCTTCACCCGGCCTCTCCCCCAGGGCCACACCCGGGCCCCGCCCGAGGGTGGGCATTGCACCCCTAGGCCTTCACACTGTCAACCGGCAGTCCCTGGGGGGGGCCGCACCCTGAGAATGCGGCCCCAGGACACAGGTCCCTGAGGTCCGTGTGTCCAGAGCCCCAGCAAGGGCAGGACAAACAGCAGTTCTGGGGCTGCCCCAGCCCTGGCGCGACAGGACCCGCTGTCCAGAGGAGGACGGAGTCAGATGGCTGGTCTCCTCACGCCCTGCGTGTCCTGACGCTGCATCTGGGAGACCTGGCCAGGAGTCTGATGGGAAACACATCCCAGATGACAGGGACCAGAGTGAAATCTTTATTGGACAGAAAGGGTCCTTATCCACTAGTAAATGCCGTAAACCCCCCACAGCGTGCCTCTTTATCTTGGCGGGGTGTGGCTGCTTATTGTAACGTGACCCCAAACGTGAGAAAAACATTTGTTTATGTAGAAGACAAGCAAGTCAGGTGCCTGACTCCAAGAGGGAGGCCGGTCCCCTGCCGTCTGCTTCCTCCCAATGACCCATGGGCGGGGCACAGGGAGGGTGGGGGATGGGACGGGTGGGCAGGGCTGACCCTCGGTGGGGACCACCGGGCCTCTTCCCACAGGTGGGAACTCCAGGACCGCGATGGTGGCGGCGCTGAGCCCCGCGGACATCAACTATGACGAGACCCTGAGCACCCTGAGGTGTGTTCCAAGGGGGCTGGAGGTGGGCGGGAGCGGACCCTCCAGGAGCCTCCATGGGGGGCCGGCTCCACTGGGCCCCTCGAGGCTCCCAGTGGCCGGCACGGCCCCCAGGACTTCATAGGCCTCTTCCCGTGTCCCACCGCTTGTGGCCTCGAGTGGCCCCAGGCCCCCAAAACTAGGCCGGAAGAGCAGTGCTCTGGGCTGAGTGGTTCACCCCAACCCACAGGCCATGGAGCCACCGGGGGTCTTTAATGAGCCCCCGGGGACAGGCGTGTCTGCAGGTCCTGCTGGCCCGGTGCTGCTCAGTGGCCTGGCTGGGTGCTTTTGCCTCCGGGCCAGGAACATATGGGGCTGGGGTGCAGGTCAGACTGCCCCATTCACCCCGGGGCCACAGGGCAAAGTGGGCAAGGCTCCCCGTGGGGAGAAGATACCCCCCATCCCTTCCCCCACTGGGGCCTTGGTTTCCCCAAGTGCTGAGCCACTGTAGGTCGGTGCCCCTGCAGGTGGCTGCAGGTGGGGCTCCGGGTGCCCTCGGCCGCCAGGCGCATAGCCCCCACCCAGCCCCCCTTGCCCACCAGGTATGCCGACCGGGCCAAGCAGATCCGCTGCAATGCTGTCATCAACGAGGACCCCAACAACAAGCTGATCCGAGAGCTGAAGGACGAGGTGACTCGCCTGCGGGACCTGCTCTACGCCCAGGGTCTCGGCGACATCACCGACAGTGAGTGTCTGTGCCCGCCTGTCCCCGCCAGGCAGGGGGGCTGCGGGCCCCGGCTCCTTCCTGGGACCACCACCCACTGACGGCCCTTCTGAGGCCCAGGCTCTGCTGCGGGTTCTAGGGCTGAGTGGCCTCTGGGTGGGCTTTAGGGGGTCCTGGTGGGGCCTGGAGGGCTGTGTGTTTGGGTTTGCGGCTGACTCGACCAGGCCAGCAATGGCTTTCCTAGAAGCCGCGTGGGCAGGAGGCGCCGGGCCGTCCCTGCGCCTGCCGAGGACCACCGCCCAGCCTGAGGCCCTGCTCGGGACACACCCTCCGGAGACAAACCTGCTCTTCCGTTTCTCTCTCTCCCACGCCTGCCCCGTAGCCGGCACTGTGCCCGGAGGACCCAGATGTGTGTATCCCCCGCTTGCTGCGCACCCTGCTTCCGCTGGCCCGCGGGCGTAGGGCAGCACAGGGCGGGCGCACCCCCTCCGAGGCCGTCCCCTCCCTGGGGCTGGACGACCAGAGTCCTCTTGCTCACGCGCCCTGCGGGCCGTGCTCCTGGCTCACCCCCGTGTCTACTGGGCAATTGAGCCAATGGGGAGGCCCAGGGCAGACAAGGCCTCTTGAGGCCGAGTGTGGCTGAGGTCAGGCTCTGACCCCCATGTTTCTAGAGGCCTGGGAAATGCTGAACATCAGCACAGAGGCCAGGACAGCTCGGTGGCTGGTTCTGTTCCTGCCTCCTGGCTTCGGCCTCCCTTAACCTCATCCAGCCCAAGCCCCCTCCCTTGGAAATGCCAGGAGTCTGACCGCTGCCAGGCCCCTCTGGCCTGCGTCTCCCACTGGCCCTGGGCAGGGGCAGGAGCTGGGTGCCCCCTCCCCACCCAGGAGCCACAGGCCGCCCTTGGCTTCCCGGCCCCCCGTGCTGCCCTGTGTTCGCCGCTGCTCTGCTGTGTGTCTGCTTCTGCTGGGAGGGGCCCGGGCACCTCCCGCCCCAAGGGGTGTCAAGCCCCCGCCTCCCAGCCGTGGGGGTCTCAGAGCAGTGTGTGGGGTGGAGGAGTAGGAGCCCCCTCGGAGGTCCCACAGCTCACTCTCTGCCAGGGCACTCAGTGGGGTGGACAGTGCAGCCCAGCCCCACAGCTCGGGGTCGCGGTGGGTGGTGGAGAGGGTGAGGATGAGCATCAGGGCCTGGGTTCAGGGGGCCGCCGGGTGGGGACAGCAGAGGGCGGTGGGCAGGAGGGCAGGGGGGCTTGCTGAGCGGGTAGGGGAACGGAGGCCCCAGGTGGGGGTGGGGCGGGGGCAGCCTTGCATGCGCTCGCCCGGGCGCCCGGCTCCTGGTCCTTGTCTGCTGCCCTCCTCTCACCCATCTCCTGCTTTTTCCCAACTTGGTCTTTCTTTTCTCTCCTCCCGTCTGTCTGCCCCCCTTCCTCCCATAGACGTGTCCGACCTTGAGAACAATAACCGTAACCGTGGCGGGGTGGAGCTGAACCCAGCCCCTGACAATCTCTCCACAGTGACCAACGCCCTGGTGGGCATGAGCCCCTCGTCCTCGCTCTCGGCCCTGTCCAGCCGCGCCGCCTCCGTGTCCAGCCTGCACGAGCGCATCTTGTTTGCCCCGGGCAGCGAGGAGGCCATCGAAAGGCTGAAGGTGAGGCAGGGCCGGGCTCGGGCGGTGGGCAGGGGGTCGAGATGCCTGCTCTCAGACGGTCACAGGCAGAAGGTTGGAGACGGCGTGAGCAGGGCCAGGGGACACGGCTGCATCCTGGCCCCAGACCTGCTGGTGCCCGCCCAGGGACCCAGTGCTCCCTGTCCAGGATCGCGGGGCCCATCTGCTGACAGGGGCCGGCAGGCATCCCAGGGCCTCTGCACACCCTCCCAGGTCTCCGTGCTCAAACCTGCCCTGGCATGGCTGCCCACCCCCACAGGCTGGCCACAGGCGAGCTGCTTGCAGGGTTCTGGTTACTGGCTTCCTTCAGCAGATGGGTACTCGGTGCCGGCTGTGAGCAGTGGACAGTGAGCCCAGACCTGGAGTCTGAGGGGACTGAGGGGAGAAAGGCACAGAGGCCAGACCCAGGCTGACCAGGGGGCATGTGGTCACCATGGGGTGTAGGCCTCCTTGTGCTGTGGGGACCCAGCAGAGTGTGGGTTCCACCTGGGGTGTGGCATTCCACCAAGGACGTGGGGGTCCCACCAGGGCTGGGGGGACGGGAAGGGAGCCGGGAGACGGCACGGAAATGGGATGCGTCATCCGTCTCACCGCGGTCAGGGGACACCTGAGCCCTGGAACCAGCGTCTTGGCATCTCGACAGGCTTGTTTCTCTTCCAGGTGTAGTTAGCCTTCTCCTCTGTTCTCTGTCCACGGGACAGACGTGCCTCCTTTGCACACGTTGACCCTCAGCCCTTCACCTTGATCTTTCAGACTTCATGCTGCCTAGATGGACTGGAATTGGGGTGTCGGGCCCTGCAGACCTGGCTATTCATCTCCCCTTGCCTGGCACCCAAGCCTCTGTGCACTGCCTGCCCCCCACCCTGACCTCACTCTTTTCTGTCTCCCTCCCCAGGAGACAGAAAAGATCATTGCTGAGCTCAACGAGACCTGGGAGGAGAAGCTGCGGCGGACAGAAGCCATCCGGATGGAGAGGTGGGTGCTGGGGACCAGGCCATCTGATGGGGAGGTGGGAGGTGGGGACTGAGGACAAGACCATCTGATGGAGAGGTGGGAATTAGGGCTGGGGACCAGGCCGTCTGATGGAGAGGAGGGAGGCGGGGGCTGGGGACATGACCATCTGATGGAGAGGGCACTAGGCCTCTGCCCAGCTCTGGGGTCTTGCACCCAAGGGTGCTCGTGTCCAGTGCAGGACATACCTGTCCCCTCTCATCCAGTGACCCCACCCTGCTCACTGATGGCCCCACTGACCTGATCCCCAGTTAGGGGACCAGTCCCTCTGAGGGGCAGCTGGACTCACAGGCCAGATGCAGCCCTGTGTGGGTGCTGACCCCCACTCTGTCCCCCAGGGAAGCGCTGCTGGCCGAGATGGGCGTGGCTATGCGGGAGGACGGCGGCACCCTGGGGGTGTTCTCTCCCAAAAAGGTAGGGGCTGGTCTGTTCCCTGGGCTGCTCCAGTGTGGCCAGGGATGGGGGACCTGCAGCCCTCGGCAGCTGTCAGCTCCTGGGGGTGGGGAAGCGGGCTCTGAGGACCTGGCCACGCTCACCCGCAGCTATTCCTTCCCTCTGTGGCCCCTCACCACCCCCACCCCCCCCACCCCCCGCTCACCATGGGATGTCTCTGTGGTCTAAGGACATCCGAGAGGTCACGTAGCTGCCTGAGGAGTGGGCTGGGCCCCTTAGGTTGGGGTGAGGCCAGGTTCCTGAAAGGAGCCTGCAGGGCAGGGCTGGGGCACATGAGCCAGGAGCCAGCCGTCCTCTTGGAGGTTAGCTAAAGTAAGTCCACTGTCCTAGCAGGGACTCCTCTTCAGCATCTAGCCCAGCTTGCCCGTGGCCCAGGGCCTCACATGGAACCGAGCCCCACCCAGTGTTCCATAGCTCAGGTGGGGCAGAGCCTGAGCACTGGGGAAAAGTCTCTGTGGTTCTAGGATGCAGACCCACCCTCCCCTGCCAAAGACTGCCAGACCCTTAGAGCCCTTAGGAGCCATGCTTCAAGCCCAGTAGCCTTCCTGGAGGCAGTGGCAGTCCACCCTGGTCCTGCCACTTTGCTAGCGAGGGAGTGCCTGGCTGACTTTTTATCCCACAAAAGGGCTTCTGTGTTTGCCTGTCTTGGAGCTGGCAGCACATGAAGTCAGTGCCATGCCGTTGGGGCTCCAAGTGACGAGGAGAATGAGGCGCCCGTGTGAGGGCTCATCCCTCAGGGTGGCTGCTCCCTGGGGACAGGGCTGGGCCCCTCAGGCTGTGTCTGCGCCCCACCTGCTAGCTGGGGTACAGCATGTGCGGATGCCCAGAGGCAGGAGGGAGGGTGCCTAGGGACCTGGGTGGGGGGCAGTGGCACCCTGGGGGTGCTTCACATCTGTCCGGTAGGCCTTTAGTTTTGTTTGGGATTCATTGCCCATGGAGGGGGGGCGCCCTGTCCATGAGAGGGGCATCCTGTCCCTGGGGGGAATGCCCTGTCCTGGGGGGGCGCCCTGTCCATGAGAGGGGCGTCCTGTCTCTGGGGGGATGCCCCGTCCCTGGGGGGTGCCGTGGGAAGTGTGCAGAGCTGGGGTGCAATGCCCTCGGGGCACCACCTGCACAGTCTTTTGGCTTCATTGGTGCAGAGGGATTTGCTGGTGGCCCAGGCCTAGACTCTGCCCAGGAGGGGGCTGGCCCTGGAGACCCCCACAGACATCTCCTCTGGAGATGCGGACACCCTCCTGGGAACGGGGTGGCTGGAGATGGTCTGTCCTGTGTCTGATGACCAGGTCTCCCTGACCCTGCGCTGCGTATTGAGGGCCCCATGGGGTCTGTTGTGAGGGTGTGGACAGCTGGCCCCAAGGAGCCAGGTGGGAAGCAGGAAGCTGTCCAGCCTTGCCTTTCTGCAGAGTCCTTGCCAGGACGGGCTGGGGGTCGGGAAGCACTGGGGCCCAGAGACCCTGAGGGAGAGCAGAGGCGGAGAGGAAGGTGGGGCGGAGCCTATCCCGGCTGCTCTGGGCGGGGTGGGCAGTGCTTAGACAGGGCTGAGGGGGAAGCACTCCCCTTGGCCGGACAGGCGGGGGGCACCGACCGACCCGGCTGGCTCTCAGCCTCTCTGCTCCTCGACCTCCAGGGCCCGAGCCCCGCCGACTGCACCCTCACCCCCTTCCTGGCTCCTGGGTCCCCTGGGGCCTCAGCCTTGGAGTTGGGATGGGGGCCTGCGGTCCTGTTTCAGTGGAGGACTGGGCCCAGGCGCCACAGATCCCAGGCTTGCCCTGCACATCCAAGTGCTCAGAGCTGGACTCCCAGCCCCTCTGGAGGTCCAGCGCCCCCGAGTGCTGCTCCCAAGGCTCCGGGGTCCCCATCAGAGTCTCCTCTCATCCTCTTGGCCAGGCTGGGGGACACTGTGTCCCCGCGAGGCCAGGCCTAGGGCTGGCAGTGGTCTGGTCCCGGGGAGAGAGAGGGCAGTGGGCGGTCAGGGCCAGGCTCCTGCCCCCCTCCAAGAGCGGTGACCCCCTGTCTCCCCAGACGCCACATCTGGTCAACCTGAACGAGGACCCGCTCATGTCTGAATGCCTGCTGTACTACATCAAGGATGGAATCACCAGGTGGGGGTGGGCGGGGCGCGGGGAGGGGCGATGCTGCGGGGCCCTCTGGGCGGGGCGGCTCCCCGCGGGCAGGCCCTGTGTGTGGGGGTGTGTGTGTGTGGGGGGTCCCCTGCGCCCCTACTCATGTGCTCTCCAGCCGTTCCCTGTAAGGGCTGGGCATCCAGGAGGCTGCAGGGGGGGTGGGGTGGGTCAGTGGGTGGTGTCGCGGGTGGCATCGCGGGTGTGCTGGGCCTGTGGTGCTCATGGCCCGCTGCACGCAGGGTGGGCCGGGAGGACGCAGAGAAGCGGCAGGACATTGTTCTGAGCGGGCACTTCATCAAGGAGGAGCACTGTGTCTTCCGGAGCGACTCTCGCGGGGGAAGTGAAGGTACCGCCCTGCCCCGCTCCACTGGGAGCTGCCGGGCTTCAGTCCCGAGGGTCTGCTGGGTCAGCACCCCCCTCCCCCAGCTTCCTAGTCAGTCCTGGGAACCCCATTTCTAAGGGGGCTTAGACAGTTGGGCTGGGGACCGGGACTCCCTCCTCAGAGGGGGCTGGTTGGGGCGGTCACGGGAGGGAGGGCAGTGAGCCCAGATCCAGGGACAACTGTTCTCAGGCCGAAGCTTTCTGCGGGCTGGGAGCAGCCATCTGTCCCTCTCCCCCGCCGGCCTGTCCTTGGGTGTCCGTCACCGCTGCCAGTCTCGAGCACGATCCTTCCTTTTCGGGGGGGTACCTGCTGTCCCAGCGGCCACGGCCCCCAAGCTCCCTGGTGGGCTCTGGCTAGCCTCGGGGCTGTAGACCACTGACCTCTTTGTGACAGGGCCACCGCGGGGTGGTGGCCTTAAGCTGTGCTGAGGACACTGGTTCTCCCAGAATTCTGTCCCCAAAGCTCTCCCTGCCCTCGGGGGGTGGACACAAAGCCAGGAGGGGCTCTGGGACTCCAGGACTGTCCCTCCTGGAGACCCCGTAGGGCGGGGTGGGCGCCTGGCACGGCCTCCCTGGCTCTGACTTGGGGCACAAGAGCCTCCCTACTGGGTATCACCTCCCTTGCCTGTGAGGGGCTGAGATGCCCCTCTGGCTTAAGGCCCAATCGAGGTGCTGCAGGGAGGAGGTGCCTGGGGGGGGCCGCACGTGGGTGCCAGGTGGCCAGGTGGGTCGAGACCCCCCCCACCCTGAGTGCTTGCTGGACTTGCAGTGAGTCCAGTTCACTGGACTCAGACAGGGAAGCAGCCAGGGTGACAGCCCCTCATGGTCCTCCTCTCTGCCCTGTCCTGTAGCTGTGGTGACCCTAGAGCCCTGTGAAGGGGCGGACACCTATGTCAATGGCAAGAAAGTCACGGAGCCCAGCGTCCTGCGGTCAGGTACAGTGGGGGCGGGGGTCGCCCCACTCCCCATGCCTGTGCACCCCTGCTCCCAGGCTGTGGGGCTGCAGGCACCTGCCCAGCCTGCAAGCACCCCGGCTGCACCGTAGGCTCGGAGGTGGTGGGGCGAAGGCTGTTCGTGGCAGAACTCCATGAGGGGCCCTGTCCCAGAGCCCCGGCGGGACGGAGGGGGGCCTTGGCAGAGCAGCCAGCGGGGCGTGGGCTGCACAACCCTCGCACCCCGGCCCCCTGGCTGGGCCTCGTGCCCTAGTGTTATAAAACAAGCAGGAAGAAGATGTATGTATACACACACGTGTATCTGTATCTGTCTGTCCATCTACCGAGGGACTTACTCAATGGAATTGGCTCGGGAGGTGGTGGGGGCTAGACAGATGGGTCTGAAATCTGCAGGTGGAACTTTCTCCTCAGGGACATCTCTGTTTAGCTCTTAAGGCCTTTTCCCAAGGGGCGATGCCTGCCACATCCTGTGGATGGTCTCCTGTCCTAAAGTCACGTGACTGGAGGTGCCACCCCCAGCTACAGACGTTCCCACCCCTGGCAGTGCATACATCAGTGCCCGAGCGCACCGCTGGGCTCCGCACCCCAGATGAGCTGACACATAAAATGGACTGTCATATCACTGTGTCTGGGTGACTTTGCTAAGAATCAGGGCACTCACCCTGGCTCCACTCCCCGGCCGAGCTGACACATGGACACACTGTCGTGTCACCGTGTCTGATGACTCTGCTAAGAACGAAGGGACTCTCCCTCTGCCCCAGCTAGGGTTGCAGGCGGGACACCCCTAGCCTGACGTCCAGACCTCTCTGGCTGCTCCAAACAGCCCTCCCTGCCTTTGTGGTCCTGGGATGCTTTGAGGGGGTACACACCACACATCTGGACTCAGGGGCCTCGTGAGGCCACCCGTGGCCGGCGTCCTTGCTTGGTTGAGCCAGGCAAGGGCAGGTCCAGAGAGCAGTTTCTGTCTCCCTTGTTGCTTCAGGATCGGTGCCCGCAGGCTCGGGGCAGGGCCTGGACTGGGAAGGGAGCGGAACTTGGGGGCTGGAGGAGCCGCCTGCAGGCTGGGGGCCTCGTGGGGAGTGGGATTGAGCCGGGTTTGCAGACCCCACAGGAGAGCTGTGATTCCTGGAGAAAGTCAGAAGGAAACTAGGCGGTTCATAGAGAACCCTGCCTCTGGGCAGGATAGTCCCAGGGCAGCTGGCACTGCCCTGGGGGCACTTGTGTGCCCGGGAGGGTCCTGCTGACAGGGCAGAGCCTGGCTCTGGAAACCTGCTGGCCCCTGCTCTGCTGCCATCCGGGGACGGCCGGGAAGGGAAGTGCCAGGCAGAGGGGCCACGCCCAGCCCTCAGATGGGGGGTGCCAGGCCCAGGGCACGGGGCAGGAGGCCAGGCTGGCCTGGGAGTGGCACGTGCAGGGTTGTGGAGAGGATTGGATGGTGGAGACGCCCCACGACTGTGCGCAAACGTCACTGCTGCTGGGAGGGGCGGGGCCCAGGGGAGGATCCGGGGAGCCTGAAGAGGCGCGTTCAGGTACTGGTGGGGGAGGAGGCCATCCCGCGGGGGCGGGTGAGGGGGACGCTTGGCGGAGGCGGCAGTGGGCTGGCTCCGGACAACTGGGGGCCCCCCGGGGAGGGCGACGCTGGGACGCCGGGGGGATTCCTCCCCTTTCCTCTCCCCTCCCCCGAGGCCCCTCAGACCAAAGGTTCTCCAGCTGCCTGCCTCGGCCCTGTCCCCCAGGAAACCGCATCATCATGGGCAAGAGCCACGTGTTCCGGTTCAACCACCCCGAGCAGGCGCGGCAGGAGCGCGAGCGCACGCCCTGTGCGGAGACGCCGGCCGAGCCCGTGGACTGGGCCTTTGCCCAGCGCGAGCTGCTGGAGAAGCAGGGCATCGACATGAAGCAGGAGATGGAGCAGAGGTGGGCCGGGCTGCCCCTCCCCGTCCCCCACCGCCGTCCGCCCGCCGGCACTCACCCGCAGCTCTTGCAGGCTCCAGGAGCTGGAGGACCAGTACCGTCGGGAGCGTGAGGAGGCCACCTACCTGCTGGAGCAGCAGCGACTGGTGAGACGCCCCCACCCAGGTCCCCGCTGCCCCGCCGGAGCTGGCGCTGGGTGGGGCCGCGTCCGGAGGGGAGGGCCGCAGGGGCCTGGTCTCTGCATGGAGCCACAGGCGCACTTCTGTGCCTAGGACTACGAGAGCAAGCTGGAGGCCCTGCAGAAGCAGATGGACTCCAGGTACTACCCTGAGGTGAACGAGGAGGAGGAGGAGCCGGAGGACGAAGGTGAGGCGGCGGGCCGGGCCGGCCTGGGGCTGGGGAGGGGCCTCCCTGCAGGTTGGCCGGCCCGGGCCTTTGCCCCGGGGGCCCTGGTCTGCAGGCAGGATTGGGGAGGCTGTGCTGCAGCAGGAAGGCACCTGTGCACACACGTGCAGTTCTGGGGCAGGCAGCCTAGAGCACGGGGAGGACAGTGCAGGGTCCTCTGCGGGAACCTTGCACCCACCCGGCCTGTGCTGCTTGAGCAGCGCTAGTGCTCCTCCCGGGAGAAGGTCTCTGCGCCGTTTCAGAGCGTTTCCTTGGGCGGGCCACCGCCGACCGCAGCTGCCGAGCGAAGGACCACCCGCAGGCAGGGTTCACGTCCAGCTCGGCCTCCGGTCAGCTGGTTGGCCCCTTGGGCGGATGAGACCTGGCCGCCCTTGTCTGGACTCGTCTATCTGGGGGTGGGGGGGTGCCAGGCCGCAGCCCGTCCTCCTGCCCCCACCCCACCGCTGCTCCGAGCCATAACTGAGCTCCGGCCTGACCCTCAGGCCCCTCGCACTCACGCCGGGGGCGCGGCGGCCGCCGTGGGGCCTGAGGGCCGCTCCCTGAGGCAGGTCTCCCTGTACGACCCTTTCCCAAACACCCCAGACAGTTGGTGCGACCCTGGGGGCCTGAGCCCCCGCCCCGCATCGACCGGGCCCGCCTCTCCGCACAGTCCAGTGGACGGAGCGGGAGTGCGAGCTGGCGCTGTGGGCCTTCCGGAAGTGGAAGTGGTACCAGTTCACGTCGCTGCGGGACCTGCTGTGGGGCAACGCCATCTTCCTCAAGGAGGCCAACGCCATCAGCGTGGAGCTCAAGAAGAAGGTGGGCTGGCCGCGCCATGCCCCCGCCACCCCCATTCCCCGGCCCATGGGCCACACCCTGCCACGCCCTCCCACACCATGCCCCTTTCTCACTACGCCCCGTGGCGCATAGGCCACGCCCACGCCACGCCCACGCAGCCACGCCGATGCCACGCCCACGCCACACGCCTGACACGCACGGCTCCCTCATGCCACCCCCCCGCCCTGCCCGTTCCCCGCCTATGCACGCCACGCTCGTGCCACTCCCTCACCACGCCACAGCTACTAGCATGCCACGCCATGCCATACCCTGCCACGGCCCTTCTACACCACGCCCCTTTCACACTACCCCCACGGCACACATGCCACGGCCCGCCACGCCCACACAGCCATGCCGATGCCACACCCACGTCACTCCCCTTCCACGCCACACCCCACGGCATGCTTATGCCACGCCCCCACCACGCCATGCCTCCACAACACGCCACTCCCCTTCCACGCCACACCCCACGGCATGCTGATGCCACGCCCCCACCACCCCACGCCAGGCCCCTGCTACGCCACGCCCCCACCACGCCGTCTGCACTCGAGGGCACTCTTCCAGTCCAGTAGGACTCCCAGCTGAGCAGCTCTGCCTTTCTGCCAGGGGGGCGAAACGCCCCTGATCTGTGCCCCTAGGAGGCCGGGTGGCTGAAGGGAAGCTGGCACTGACCAAGGCCGGCGCATAGGCAGGCCAGAGCGTGGGCGAAGTGGAGCTTTCTCTCCAGCCGCGGGAAGGAGGCTATTCTGAGGCCGGGCTCCACCTCCAAAGGGCTGATGGGCGTCATCTTCACCGCGCACAGGTCCAATTCCAGTTTGTCCTCCTCACGGACACACTCTACTCCCCGCTGCCACCTGACCTGCTGCCCCCGGAGGCTGCCAAGGACCGAGAGACTCGCCCCTTCCCGCGCACCATCGTGGCCGTGGAGGTCCAAGACCAGAAGAACGGGGCCACCCACTACTGGACGCTGGAAAAACTCAGGTGCATGGGAAGCGGAGTGAACGCAGAATGTTGGGCAGCTAGTTTTCCTGTTTCAGTTTCTTTTTAAGTCAGAAGAAAGTACATAGGATCCAGCCTTATTAAAGAATCTGTGTTCTGCTCTGGCAAAGCTAGGCTGAAGTTGGTGGGTGAGGTGCTGGGGGGAGGAAGGCAGGGGGTCCTCTGCCTTGGGTGGAGCCTGGGCGGGGCGGAGCAGGGCGGGAGCCCCTGGAGGATGGCGGCCCCTGGAGGGCGGCTGGTCTGCCCTCCCCTCTGCCTCCAGGGTCCCACGTGCCTACCCTGCTGTGCGTGGGCCTGACTTCCTGGGTGAAGGTGACTGGGCAGGGCTTTGCCATGGGAGAAAAGTTTACTGTTGCTCAGCTTCCCCTGGAAGGAGGGACACCCGCACGCAGGGGAGGTGCAGGGCCTTCAGGGACGAAGCAGGGGTCTCACTACAGCATCTTCGAGGCGTTCGTGGGCACAGCTGGACAAGGCGAACAGTGAGGACCGGCCGGTTAGAACAGCATTGGAGGCTTGGGGCAGGGGCTGCCTGGTGGCCTGGCCCCGCACCTGAGATTAGGGCAGGGGAGCTGGCTGGTTGAGTGGGCTTGGGCAAGGTAAGGGGGTCTTCACTGTGGGGGAAGGGTCTCCCAGGCAACGAGGCCCCAAAGATGTCAGAACACTGTGAGACACAGAAAATAAAGAACACAGACGCACTCACACGTGCAGCCACGCACATTCACACACATGGTACCGCTCACCTTCAAACACAGGCCCACTGGCACTCACATACCAACCATGTATGTTCCCAGGTACACCTGCCCCTTCCCTGTTCTCCAGGCTGCGGCCCCTCCTGGGAAATGAATGTCCCCCCAGGTCCTTCCTGTTGCACCTGGGCCCCCGAGGTATATTTCCCTTAGAGGTGTTTCTCCCACAGCTTGCTGGTTTTCCAGGGTGATAACTTCGGAAATGCCTTGTTCCTCGTGTCCTGTCACAACTTGCCCTTCGCTCACCAGCTCCCAGGGCTCCGTGCCCGAATCCGGGTTCCCCCACACTGGCTGGTCCCAGCCCCGTCCTCTCCTGACACCCTGCAGCTGTCACTGGGGTTAAGAGAAGTGTGTGGTGAACGTGTGTTGCACTGCAAGCCCCTTGCTCATGGTCAGCCGATTCCAAGGACCACGGAGGGAATGTCCGGCAAAGCCGCTTGAGCTGAGGGCAACCCTGAGCAGGACGCTCCGCCCGGGCCCATGCTGACCTCTGCCCTGCAGGCAGCGGCTGGACCTGATGCGGGAGATGTATGACCGGGCAGCCGAGGTGCCCTCCAGCGTCATCGAGGACTGTGACAACGTGGTGACCGGAGGAGACCCCTTCTACGACCGCTTCCCCTGGTTCCGGCTGGTGGGCAGGTGGGTGTCTGCCTCCGGACCGGGCTGAGAGACTGGGAGAAGAGTGGTGGGTGGCGAGGGCCTGGGCCCTGGCCCTGACCTGAGGCGGGCGCTGGCCCTCTTCCATCCCGAATCCCCTGCCTTGGTCCTCTCTGGGCTGAGTCCCCCCGTCATCCTCTCCACATACCAGTGGGCCCTGATGGGGAGGGGGTCTCCGCATTGCCACCCACCCCCGCTTCGGGGCCGTAGCCCTCAGGCGACACCTGTCCACGGGTGAGAGTGTGAGGCTTGGTCAGGCCTTCTGGGCCACCGGTGGGGCGTGAGCGGGAGGCAGGGCAGAGTGCTCCCAGAGCCCAGAGTCTGCGCCTGGGCTGGGGGGCTGCACCCAGCCCCTGCCCCCCACGGGGCGTGGATTCTGAGGCTTCGACATGACCACGGCCTCGGCCACACCCGGCCAGGACCACACCTGCCGGGACCTTCCGGAACCTTCCGGGGCTGCACACTGGCCCCACGGGCGGGCGTGCGTGTGTGTCCACGCCTGGGGACGGCGCGCCCTGGGCCACCTCGGCTTTGGAGGCGGTGCCCGTGGAGGTCTGTGTGCCGGCCACCCGCCCCGCCGCCCCCGAGGAGCCGGTGTTAACTTCTCTCTGTCTTGTCGCACTAACCCCAGTTCAGTCGTCTCTGGCTGCAACAGCTACCCTCTTCTCAACACATGCATGAGCGAGCGCATGGCTGCTCTCACCCCCTCCCCCACCTTCTCGAGCCCCGACTCCGACGCCACCGAGCCTGCCGAGGAGCAGAGCGTGGGGGAGGAGGAGGAGGAGGAGGAGGACCTGGAGGACGACGTCTTTCCGGAGCACGTGCTGTGCGACGGCCGGGACCCGTTTTACGACCGGCCCCCCCTGTTCAGTTTAGTAGGAAGGTTGGTGAGGTTGAGGACGGCATGCTGGGAAGGAACCAGCTCTTTTGCACAGGAGCACTGCTGTGGGCACGGTGGACCACCGGCAGGGCGCCGCCCTGGCGCAGGGGGCAGGCAGGGGCTGGCCTCCCCTGGGGAGCGAGTGAGGCAGCGAGAGCGCCCCTGGCCATCCTGGGGAGGCCCAGCAGGGGAAGGTGGGGGCCCAGTGACAGAGGAGGCAGGACGCCCCGGGGCACAGGCTCCACGCAGGGGGTCTGTTTCTGCAGAGAGGCCTCTGGAACCCCAGGGAGAGCCCCCACCCCCGTGCAGGGGCCTCAGGGCATTTGGAGAAGTGGCGGCAGGCATCCTTGCACCCCCTCGCCCACCAGCCGAGGCCACTGTCCCTCCTTCTGCTGTTTTCCAAAAGAGACGGAGGGTCTGGGTCTGCTCCCAGTGCCGCCCCCGCCCCCCGTCGTGGGAAGAGGAGCAGAACCTGGAGGAGGCCGTTGGGGGACAGCAGTGGGGGACGAAGGAAGGCAGAGCCTGGCAGTGGGAGGGCCTCCCTCTGAAGCCCTGGGCAGCCTGGCCTCTCTTCGAGCCAGTCTCCATCTAAGATAGAGAACACCTCATTCGTCCTGACCTTCAGGCCATCAACATTGGAGACGGCACCCCTGGCCTTGTGCCCTCCAGGGAGCTGTCCTCTGTGGAGGGGAGGCAGTGATTAAGGGTTTTAGACAGGAGACAGACCAGGTCCAGGAGGGGGCGTGGGGCTCGCCCTGCAGGCAGATGGGCCAAGTACAGTCCGTCTGTTTTTATCACCGTGGGACAGAAATGAGAAAGAAAGATCTAGAAACCTAGCTGTAGTAGTAGAAACCTTGGCTCACAGAAACTGAATTTACACATTCTGTCTGCAAAGGTGGAAGTTAGCTTTAAAGGCAACCTTTGTAGGAGTCTGGGATTGCTTCCTGGGCTAGGCCGAGGGAAGGTTTTGGAAGTCTTGACCTTGGAGCACCAGTGCTGGAAGCTGTGCCGAGGCTGGCCCCCAGATAATGAGGTTTGTTCTGGGAGCCCTTGGGTGCAGCTGCTGGAGTGGAAGCCCCTCTGGTTCCTCTGGGAAGGAAGCAGGCTCTCTCGAGGGGATCGTGGGTTTATTCTGACTCAGTCTCCCTGAGCGGGGGCTGCTGGCCCCCTGGCTCTCTCCTGAGATGCCCCAGTCCAGCTTCCTGCCCCACCGACCCAAGGGAAGGCGTGACCCCTGGGGCTGGCTCCACACAGGCCTCTCAGAAAGCCCAGCCACGCAGGCCAGGGCTGCCGGGTGTCAGGCAGGCGTGGGGTTACCGGGAGAAACGGGGGTGGGCTCTTGCAGTCTCAGCCAGAAAGAGCTGGGTCCTTCCGACACTCCCCCTGTGATCTGGGATGTTACGAAACAACCAAAACCAAAGCCGCGCGAGAGGCCAGCTCCCCACGCGGCCGTCTGCGAGGGGCTTCATTTGAAAACGTCCTGATTTTTCTGGTTTGGCAAGAATTGGCTTTTCCCGCGCAGCAGCTGTGCAGGCCGAGCCCTGAGGAGGACCCGTGTGTGGTTCCCTTTATCCTTCTGGTAGCCGCTGGCTCTCTCTCCAAAGCTTAAGCAAAATTGGGGCGCCCACTCTTGCCTCCCTCCGGAAAGGCTTCCGTGGCCCCAGCATGCGTCTGCACCTCACCAATCTCGTGGTTAGCGCTGCCTCCTCCGCTCCCCCACGCTCCGCCCCGGCCCCCACCTCTGCCGCCCCCCCTGTCTCCGGCGGGTCTCAGCCTGCTTCAAGGTGCCCTCACTCCCGAGCACGGGGTCCCGGCAGGGCCCCCCCGCCCCGAGTCCAGGGTCAGCCTGCGTGCCGCTGCGCTGGGGGGTGGGGTGGGCCAGCCCAGCGGGAGGAGGTGGGCCTGTGGGCTCAGTCTCCCCCGTGGTCCTCCCCGCCTGGATCTTCGCTCTCAGAAGGGGGGTGGGCAGGGGAGCCGCAGAGAGAGGAGGGTGAGGGGCTGACCGTCTGGGATGGATGGTCCCGGGGAAGGAGGACAGGTGCCCCCCGAGTGTAGGATCCAGGACTCTGGGTGGAAAAGCACTGACCCACCGTGTCTGCTCTGCGCTGTCTGGGCCAGCAAGGCCGAGCTCCCAGCCCCCAGCCGGGTGTGCTCTGCGGGCCAAGCCGCTCAGCCCGAATCGTCTCCAGCAAGGCGCTGGGCTGCCTTGTGCGGGTGGGCGTGCCGTGGCCGGCGGGTCCTCCTGACAGGGCTGGGCTGCTCCAGCCCCCGAGGTGGTGGGCACTGCTGTCCACTTGGGCGTGTGGAGGGCCCGGCCTCTACCCCTCGGACCCACCCTCTCCAGTCCCCGTCATCCGGGGTGGGCCTGGGGTCTTCCTGACCCCTGCCCTGGTGGCTGGTGCTGCCACCAGGGGCAGTGGCTGCCAGGCCAGGGGGTCCCTTCGGGTGAAGGCGGTGTCACCATCACAGGGCAAGGGGCAGTGAGGAGGACAGAGGGTCCCGCAAGGCCACCGTGCCCTCTAGAAACCCTCGCCCAGGGCTGCGTCTGATCTGTGTGCGAACCTGCCTGGTGCCCCTGGGGGTGTGGAGACCAGCCCTCCCACGGCTGGCAGTGAGGTCCAGAGAGGGCAGCGAGTGTGGCCGTGGACTCCAGGTGTCTTTTTCTTTGTAAAGCCCCAACCTCCAACCAAGGGGGCCCTCGAAGCCCCCAGCCCTGCTGTTTACGATACCCTAAGCATCTGGGTTTTCTTTCCTTTCCGACAAGAGAAAATCCCGTGAGATCGGGAAAGACTTGATTTACCTAACAAACCTTAAGTAAGCCACTGGGTGATGGGGCGCTGTGCCCACAGCCGAGAGCTGTCCCGGAGCCAGCCTGGGGTCCCGCCCCAGCCGAGCGTCTGCTCCCAGCCTTGCTGTCCTCGGGCCTCCGTCTCCGCCTGCGAGATGGGGCATGGAAGCCGTGGTTCGCCAGCCCTAGCACCTCCGCTTAGACTTCCGGCGCTGTGTTTGAGCCCCTAGTTTGAGCCGTCGGTCCAGCTGAAGCATGCCGCTGGGGAGGGAGCCCCAGCGTCCGTGTTGAGGTGTGAGGAGAAGAGACCCCGGCCGCCTGCTGCATGGTGCTAGGGGCTCCAGCGCCGGCCCCAGTGGGCTCGCAGGGGCTGTCACGCACAGTTTCTCCCCTGGAGCTTTCGGTGGCAGACTGCCAGCGGGGTGATTTGAGCTTTAGGACTCACGGGGTGCAGCCCTCTTCGATGCGTGGGCCCCGTGGCAGGAAGCGCCCCGGGAGACCACAGTGGGCATGTGCAGCCGCGGGGCCCTGGGGGAGCGGGGACGCCTGCCCTGCCGCGGGCCTGCTGTGACTGGGTTGGCCCGGCCCCATGCCTTGGACTGCCTAGGGCCTGGCCTCCGTGGGCGCAGGAGGGAGGAGGGCTGACCTCCTTCCCCTCCCTCACGGCCCCTCGGGGTGGTCCTGGGTCCCCTGCAGCGGGCTGTGAGAAGCCATTGGAGCTGGGAGCCAGCGCCCAGGGACTGCTCCCTGAGCCTTCAGGAAGCAGCCCCCGGGCCTGGCGGGCCCTCCTGACTGGTGGCCCTCGGACAGCCTGACACTCTGCCTCGGGAGGGCATCGTGCCCTCAGTAGCCCACGACCCAGGCGGCGTGCCTCCCCGTAGGTCCTCCTGTGGGTCCCTGCAGGGTGCAGGGGGTGGGCAAACCTGCCCCCCACCCTGGCGCCTGGGGCTCCCAGAAGTCTCCCGACCCTGCTTTCTGCAGCAGGCGGTGCCCAGGGGCGGGCAGGGCTGAGGGCAGCGCTGACTGGGCCCCGAAGCTGGGAGCTGCCCCACCCAGCCCCCTCAGCGCTCTGGGGCAGGGCAGGGCAGCTGGGCCTCGGGGGAGTGGAGCCGGCTCTGTGCCTGTCCCCATAGCTCGGAGTCCTGGCCCTGCACTTCCCCTTCTGGACCCCGTGACTTGGCTCATTTCACAGTCGCCCCCTCCCACCCCCAGTTTCCATCAGAGAAGCTGGGCCAGCAGCCCAAGTGCCGGGGAGGGGAGGCCCCCACCGTCCCGCCCGAGGTGGGTGCTGGCTGATGCCCTCTGCGATGTGGGCGAGGCCTTCCGTTCGGACTCCAGCATCTCTTGCTGGCTTCTGCTCTCCTGCGTGGTGGCTGGGGGCAGTGGGCCTTGGCGCCCGCCCCCGTCGGGGGAGAGAACACCGAAGGGAGGGGCCGTGGGGCGCCCTCAGAGATAGTGCTCTGCTGGGGAGGGGGCTTCCGCCTGCCGGAGGGCAGGGGGCGGCAGTGGCAGGCCCTGGGAGGCCCCACCCTGGGGTGCCTGGGGCCTGGTTCAGCCTTCAGGGGCCCAGAAAGCAAAACCAGTCAACAGAGGTTGGGCCTGCTGGTAAATTTGGGCCAACGGGGAGAGCTGTGCAGAAAGCAGCCCAGAGGTTGAGACGTGGTAGCCTTGCACAGAGATGGGAGCAGACGGGGGCGTGAGGCCAGAACGGGTCGGGGCCCACGACAGAGGCTGGAGCACCTGTTGGATGCAAAGAGCTTGGAGGCCAAGGTGGGTGGGGTCTGCTCTGGTCTCAGGTCCCCTCTGGCAGCCGTAGAGGCCGGGGTGGGGGGGTGCAGGGGGAGAGGGTGGGAGGCCAGGGCTGATGGGCTGGTGATGGGTTTCAGAGACTCGAGGCAGAGCTGAGGGACGGGCTAGGATGGTGTGCAGAGCTCTGCCCTGCGGCGGGGGAAGGCCAGCGGTGGCCAGGCTGGGAGCCAACCAGAGAGGGATGCAGGGCCTGGAGTCAGGGCCCTGGGGACAGCCCCGCCCCCACCTGCGGCCACGGGGCGTCCAGAGCAGGGACCCCAGCCTGGATGAGGGGCGGAGTGACAGACGACGCACCTCTCCTCCTATCCCCCAGTGACCCCTCCCCACCCGACCAGTGCCCAGACTGCTACCTCAACTGCCCACACCTTGTCCCCACTCGGACCCCCTCACCCCCCCTGCACTTCCTCCCCAGCACCTCCCACTATCCGGCCCCAAATCCTGCCCCTCCCCCAGGACCACACCCAGAACTTCCCCAGCCCCGGAGCTCAGGGTTGCCGGGTCTGTGCCTTTGGGCTGGAGTGGAGGGCAGAGCAGGGCTGGAAACCAGGGTACTCCCTCAAGGAGGCCCCCCCAGGAGGACATAACCCAAAGAGGGCACGTCCCCAAGGAGGGTGTTTCCCCCAAGGAGTGGGTGTCCCTCCACGGAGGGCTTCCTGAACAGAAGGGAGTGGTGCTCATGCCAGCCTGCCCACCCGCGGAGCAGCACAGGCTCCGCCTTCCAGTGCCCATGAGATCCCAGGTCGGCCGGCTCAGGGAGGGGGCGCCACGGTGACATGGCCTCTGGCCCGCCTGTCTTGGCACTAGCTGGGCACATAGCTGAGCTGCCAGGAGAGGGGGACTCTGGGCCCTGGGGCTGGTGGGGCCGTGCCAGGCAGTGCTGCAGCGTCTGGGGCATCCTTGGGGCTCTGTTCAGCCCTCCTCCTGGGCCCTGGCTGAAGTGATGGAGCTCTCACCCCTTGTGTTCCTGGAGAGGCTCACAGGGAGCCCTGAGCTGTCTTTTGCCATCTGAGGCCCTCTGGGGGGTCTGCGAGTATCAGGGGCCTCCGGGGAACGGGCAGGGGAGACGGGGGCATCGGCACCAGCGTGAGGGTTGTAGGTCAGCGAGGCGGTCCCCGGTCGTCACCCTTGAAGCAGGCTGAACCCTCCTCCTCGCTGTCCTCCGCGTCCTCCCGCCCCTCTGCCCTGTCCGCTGCCGCAACCCCACCCCCCCCCCGCCCGTGCAGCTCCTGCCTGACCCCGCCCTGGCTGCCCCCGCCTGGCTGCCCGCCCCCCTCCGCTTCGCAGTGTCGTGTTGTGTGCCCACCCTGCCGCCTCTGCCGGGTGCCCGGCGGGTGGCCCTGACCATGGCCTCTCCTCCCCCAGGGCCTTCGTGTACCTCAGCAACCTGCTGTATCCCGTGCCGCTGGTGCACCGCGTGGCCATCGTCAGCGAGAAGGGCGAGGTGAAGGGCTTCCTGCGCGTGGCCGTGCAGGCCATCTCAGGTGCGTGCGGGCAGCCCCCCCCACAGCCCCGGCCTCCTCCATCTCTCCCCGCAAGACAAGCCCTGCTGCCGGCGCTCGGCTTGGGCCCCCGGGGCTCCTCCTGGTCGGCTGGGGCCTCCAGGGCCGTGCAGGCCGAGCCCAGGGCTGTCTGAGGCTCCTCTGGCTCGGGCCCCCCACCAGGCAGCCTGCAGATGCAGCCTGGTGCAGAAGTGTGCCCCAAGCCCCCACCACGGTCTCAGCCCCAGGAAGGGTACACACACTCTGGCCCTTGGTCCCCCAGCCTTCCCGAGTCCCTAGCACGGCCCCCTCCAGAGCACATGGCTGCTCCGGTGCTGACCTGTGTCCCCAGAGGCCGTGAGCCCCTCCCCACCGCTGGCCAGCTGCTCCAGCCCCCACTGAGAGGCAGATGCCCCTCACTGCCCAGTCCCCTCCTGGCCGCCCCTCTGGGTTGGGGGCAGCCTCCCAAGGGAGGGCATCAGGTTTGCTGGGTTTGCTCCTCTGAAAGTCGATCCTCTGTGAAGCTTCTTAGGAGTGTGGAGAGATGCTTGAAGACGCGTGGGGAGCTGCTGGGCTGGAGGGTCCCTCCACTGCAATGGCCAGTCTTCCCTTCCCCACCTCCAGCCCCCAGCGCCTCCTCAGGCCTCTTCCTCCTCTCCCGAGGCTTGGCCTGGGCACCATGGGTGCCCCGTGTGCAGCTGCAGAGGGCCCGGGCTGGGACAGGGAGGTGCGGGGCGTGAGCAGCGCGGGTGGCCTGCTCTCCTACTGGGTGGCCCGTGTGTGCGCAGCCTGGATGTCTGGACCCCTGTGCCAGGTTCTCGCTTCCCCACGATCCCAAGCACTCTCCCCAGCTCCTCCAGCTGTGTGGAGGAGGTGCTTAGGCCCCTGGGGATGCAGCTGAGAAGGGGGAAGCTAGGGGTGGGCTGGCTTTAGGAATAAGCCAGGTGACAGCGATGCTGGGGCATCCAGTGCCGCCCTCCTCCCCCGAGGAGGGCCCAGGCCCTCTGGGCGCTTCATCCTCCCTGGTCTCTTCCTGGCCCTTCCTGACCCCTCGGCCCCTGTAGAGCGGGTCCCACCTGGCTGGCCGCTTCATAGACAGACAGGTCGGTGCTGTCTGTTTGGGCCGCACCTGACGTCCCCCGTCTGGTGGCTGAGCTGGAGGAGACGGCCACCCCTGCCCCTGCCCCCCCGCCATGGCAGGGGCCCTCCTGCGCACTTGCCCTGGGCCGCCCTGGGCAGCGGTGGGGTAGAGCCCTGGGCCCTCGGGCAACTGGGGTGGACGCCTCGGTGGTGTTCGCACCCCCACAGGGCCCCAGAACAGAGGGTTGGAGCCGCCTGGCATCTGTGAAGTCTCCTGCAGCGGCACCTAGCCAAGTGGCTGGAGTTGGGGGCTGGGGGCCTGGAGAGGGCAGAGCTGGTGGCCTTCAGGCGGCGGGAGAAGGGTTTGGGTTTTGTCCCAGATGGTAGGCAACCCTGGACACTGGGGAGAAGTGGGTGTGAGAGCATGTGGGGTGTTGAGTGTCCAGCTGCGTGACAGGGGGAGGGGAGAGAGGTGGGGAGTCCGGAGGCACCTGGGTTCTGTTGCAGCGGCTGAGTCTGGGGTCAGGACTTGGGCGGGGGCGGCAGAGGTAGAAAGCTTGGCTCTGATAAGGTGGCGTTCACAGCCCCATCGGTGTGGCCGTGCCGACGACATGGCTGCCGCTGGGCCATGGGGCAGTGGAGGCCAGTGGTCAGGGTGCCCGGGACATACCCTGGTCATTCAGAACTGCTCAGCTGTGTCTGGGATCCCCCAGGCGGGTCAGAGCTGCACCTGGTTCCAGCATCCCCCCCGCCAGCACTCGGACTGGACGTCCTGTCCCACCTGGGGACACGCTGGGCCTGACCCTCTGCTCCGTCCTGTTTCAGCCGACGAGGAGGCCCCTGACTACGGCTCCGGCGTCCGCCAGTCGGGAACAGCCAAAATCTCCTTTGACGACCAGCATTTCGAGAAGGTAGTGGGGTGGCCACGGATGCCACCAGATGGGCCACCAGCCCGGCAGGGCCTCGGGGTGGGCGAGGACAGCGTCTTCCTCGCAGGCGCCCTTCCTGCTCTCGGGCAGCAGGCCTGATTGGGGAGCTCCCAGGCCCTGCCTGGACTGTGGTGCTCTGAGGCTTTGGGCCCAGGACCTCCGAGTCATCCCTCTCAGAGGGGCCGTCAGTGCTGGGCCTCACAGGAGAGCATGGGGCAGAGCAGAGAGGGCCCGGGGTGGGGGCGGTGGGGGGCATGCGGGCAACTGGTGGGGGGCCTGGCTGGGCCCTGAAAGCCGCTGGGAGAGTCTCTCTACGGTGGGGGAGCAGGGGGCGGAGCTGAGGGAGGGGGTCCTGGCTGGGTGGGCGGAGCTTAGGGAGGGGAGGGGCTGAGGGAGGGGTCCTGGTTGGTGGGCGGAGCTGAGGGAGGGGCGGGGCTGAGGGAGGGGCGGGGCTGAGGGAGGGGCGGAGCTGAGGGAGACGTCCTGGCTGGGGTGGGGGCGGAGCTGAAGCCCAGAGACGTGTCCCACCTTCCTTTTCCGCTGCGTAGACTGACAGAGGCACTCAGAGCCTGGGGAACCGAGGGCTAGGGAGGAGTCCGCTCATGGCACGGGCCGGCCTGGTGGGCGCTCAGGGTCCCTGGCGGCGCTCTGTCCGACCCCGCCCCCGCCTGCACAGTTCCAGGCCGAGTCCTGCCCCGGGGTGGGCATGTCCCGCTCAGGGACCTCCCAAGAGGAGCTGCGGATCGTGGAAGGCCAGGGCCAGGCCGCAGACTCTGGGCCCTCGGCCGACGAGGTCAACAACAACACCTGCTCAGGTGGGTCCCCGCTGCCCGCCTCTTGGCAGGCACACGTGCTGCAGGCCAGTCCCCAAGCCCACACTCAGCCCTTTGGGTCCCTCCATACCCATCTGCCCTTGGCTCCCAGCAGCGGTGACCCCGGAGGGCCTCCTGGACAGCCCCGAGAAAGCCGCCCTGGACGGGCCCCTGGACGCCGCCCTGGACCACCTCGGCCTGGGCAGCACCTTCACCTTCCGTGTGACCGTCCTGCAGGCGTCCAGCATCTCTGCTGAATATGCTGACATCTTCTGCCAGTTCAAGTGAGCCCCGTACCCAGGCTGTGCCGGTGGGCCTTGGCAAGGCGCAGGCGCAGGGCACCTGGTGGCCCCCTTGGGGCTGGGGTGCCTGCGCCCAGGCCCCACACCCACCGAGCATCTCCTCCCGGTTTGCAGCTTCATCCATCGCCATGACGAGGCCTTCTCTACGGAGCCCTTGAAGAACACGGGGAGGGGGCCCCCGCTGGGCTTCTACCACGTCCAAAATGTACGTCCTCAGGGCCCCTGTCCCCCTGCCGTAACCCGCCCCTCCCGGGGCCCCAGCTCTGCTGGCCTCCCTGAAACCCCCGAGGTGCTTTCACTCGGTCACACCTTCTCCCTCTCCTGTGCACCAGCCCCGGGCTGGGCGTGAGGATAAGGGCCTTGGGCGCCAGGTGGGGGCGTGTGTGCTCCTGCTGGGCAGTAGGGCCTTTGGGGGGCTTAAGGCTGGGGGTGGGGGCAGCCCAGAGCCCCACCGAGGGCCCCTGTAGCAAGCCTTAGTCGGATGTGGATGTGAAGGGTCTGGGGGCCCAGCGAGGCCACCCTGGCTTGGTCCTGGGGATGAGGTGGGGCAGGGCGTGTGGAGGGCCGTGGGGTGCCCAGGCAGAAGCCGGACAGGCCAGGGAACCCCCAGCCCGGGAAGAACTGGCAGACGGCGGGGACATGGTTCAACCCGCAACTCGAGCCAGGCTGTCAGGAGAGTAGGGGACTGTCTGCTGTGAGGCGGGGAAGCAGGGCACTGACGGAAGCCTCTGGGTCGCAAGACCTCGGGGACCCAGCGAGTGTGAGTTGGACCTGAGCTGTGGCTGTGCCCTGAGCAGCCACCCCAGCCTGGCTCAGAAGGGCCCTGTGGACTGTGGCCCATCCTGCCCCTCGGGGACGAGGGGCTCCGGTCGTCTCTAAGCCAGGGAGGCGGGGCCAGCTCTGCCAGGGCACTGCATGGGTTCCTTCCCTGGCAGCCCAGCAGGGCCCCTCAGGCCAGGGGCTTTAACCAGGGGCTGCCTGCCTCTCAGCCCCTGAGGCTTAAGTCCGAAAGCCCGGTGGGCTCCGCGCTCCCTCTGAGGCCATGACGAGAACCAGTTGCCACCTCTCTCCCTGGCTCATAGATGGCCACCTTCCCCAGTATCCTCACGTCACGTCCCGTGCGGGCCTGTGCCCAAGTGTCCCCTTCCTACGAGAACACTGGGCCTGTGGGGTCCCCAGTGACCTCGTTCTAGCTCTATCGCCTCTGTGGAGACCCCTCTCTGACACCCGTGCTGGCGGTCAGGCTTCAACACATGAGATGCGGGTAGTGGGAGACAGAGTTCAACCCACAGTGCCGGGCAAGTGGACGAGAGTCCAAGCGCGGTCAGGCCGGGTCGCAGAGACCCGTCCTGCAGCTCTGCGATCTGAAAGAGCAGCTGAGCCCAGGGGCCCTCAGCCCGTCAGTCCTGTGGGAGAGCCCGCGGGCTGGCCCGCAGTGGCCGGTCCACAGGGCGTGTGGAGGAGCAGGCTGGGCAGACCCAGGTGAGGTCAGCCCCGGGCTCTGCGGTCTGGGCCTGGGGTGCTGTGTGCTCCTTGGAGGCCGAGCTCTCCCCTCCCTGACTCCCCATGCCGCCCCCCGACCAGATCGCGGTGGAGGTGACCAGGTCCTTCATCGAATACATCAAGAGCCAGCCCCTTGTCTTCGAGGTCTTTGGGCACTACCAGCAGCACCCGTTCCCGCCCCTCTGCAAGGACGTGCTCAGGTTAGCGGGCTAGGGCTTTTCGCCTCCGGGCTGGCAGGCTTGACCTATGCTCTGGACGGGCCTGGTATGCTGGCTCTGGAGCCTTGTGGCCCCCCGACACCTCCTGTCTGAGGCTGGACACGGTGCGGTCAGAGACGGCCCTGCGAGGCTGAGGAGGGGTCTTAGAGGGTCACTGTCAGAACCTCAGCCTGGCCTGGGTGACCCCCTGCCCTGCTCCTGAGTCCTCCACGCCCCCAGGCAGGACGGGGGTGACTGGCCCTGCTCCCTCCCCTGCCTGGGGCTCTCAAGGTGGGTCCCCGCTGAGCCCCCCGCGTGTGGGGAGAGCAGCCCAGAGGATTGGGGGCAGTGGGGCCCCTTGTTGCCACCTCTGGGCACCCTCTATGCTGATGTGCGGGACCCAGGGCGAGTGTCGGCAGAGCAGGCCGGAGGGGCTGGTTCCAGGGCTCACCTGTCCTGGGGAGGGGAGAGGCCTGTCTGGATTCCCAGGGCCTCATGGGGCCTCTCGGGGGGTCTCGAGCTCTAGGGTGCCCCCTCCCCAGTTGGCGGAGGCCTGAAGTCAGGCCTTTCCCAGGCCCCGTGGGAGGGGCACTGGCCTCTGGTCACTCACGGTCACTCTCCCCATCTGTCCCCACAGCCCCCTGAGGCCCTCACGCCGCCACTTCCCACGGGTCATGCCGCTCTCCAAGCCAGGTAGGCGGGGCTCTCCCGGCCGCAGGGTGCCCATGTGGGCCGGCCACGCTTGGCCAAGTGTAGTCCTGCAAGGGCGTCCCTGCCCCCTAGCCTCCTGGCACCTCCCTGCCCCCCCTGCTGGCCCTCCGGGGGCCCCACAGAGTTAGGGCTCCGTTCCAGAGCAGGGGCCACAGAGGGACATCTGGGAGGCTGCCCGTGGCTGGGGATGAGGGCCGGGGGCTCCCAGGGGGGCTGGGCCCTGTAAACTGAACCTGCAGGACGGACTCTGTCTGAGAAGAGGTGGGCTCGGAAGCTGCTTCCCTGGGGGGAGGCTGGAGGTGGGCGAGCCCAGGAGGTCCCTGGAGGAAGGGCCCTGGGAGGTCAGCTGCGCCTGGCACCCAGAGCAGAGGGGCTGTGGGCAGAGGTGGCTGGGCACACGGGGCACGGAGCCGGTGTGTTGGGAGCGGCCACACGTCTAGGGCGGCGGGGCCCAGGGCCTCTGTGCTGGAAGCAGGTACTTGGCATGGCTGAGCGGTCCCAGGCGGGTCATGGGGCCTCAGAGCAGGCGTGGCTCCGGCCACTGCCTGTGCCCAGGTACATGGGGCTGCGGGCTCCTCCCACCTGGCACAGACAAGCCTGCAGTCACGCCCACCTCCCGGGGTGGTGGCCAAGGCCTGTCTGTGCTCCGGGGTGGAGCCCACCAGTCTTCCCCGTGGAGGGCAGTGTCCTCGCTGCTGCTGGGAGTCTGCTCCCTGCCTCCTCTGCGCACCCTCACCCACGAGCGGCCTGTTTGCACCCGCGTCTCCTCTCTGTCCCCCCAGTGCCGGCCACCAAGCTCAGCACGCTGACGCGGCCCTGCCCAGGGCCCTGCCACTGCAAGTACGACCTGCTGGTCTACTTCGAGATCTGCGAGCTGGAGGCCAATGGCGAGTGAGTCCCGAGCCTGTGCTGCCCGTGCGGGGCGGGGCAGGGGTCCGCGGGATGTGCAGGGCCAGGAGGGGCCTGGGGCAGTGGGTGGTGTTCTCCTGCCCTCTGCTCCGCCCCGGGCGGCCGGCTGGCTGTGCGGCGCGCGCGCGGGGCGGGGCCGGGCACACCCTCAGCCCTGCCGCCTCTCTTGCAGCTACATCCCGGCAGTGGTGGACCACCGCGGTGGGATGCCATGCATGGGGACCTTCCTGCTCCACCAGGTGCGAGACCTCGCCGCCCCGCCCTGCACCCCGCCCCCGCCCCGAGCCCCGCCCCCACCTGGCCTTCCGCCTTCTGACCCTGCGCTCTCCCCCGGTGCTGGCAGGGCATCCAGAGACGCATCACCGTGACCCTGCTGCATGAGACGGGCAGCCACATCCGCTGGAAAGAAGTGCGGGAGCTGGTAGTGGGTGAGTGAGGGCTCACACAGGTGGGAGCAGCACAGTCGCCCCATGCAGCCCCAGACCCGGCTCTGCCCCTGTTGCTGTGTGGTCTTGGCTGAGTCACTTACCCTCTCTGTGCCTCACCCCTCACCTGAAGAGAAGCGCAGGGACTCAGGCGATGATTCCAGACTTCTATTTAATCACCGCGTTAGCTTGCTAGGGCTGTCGTAAGGAAGTCCCGCACTCCAGATGGCTTGAAAGCCCAGAACTTGGTCTTGTCGTGGTTGTGGATAAGGCCTGTGATGACTCTGTCAGCAGCTTGGCCATGCTTCCTTGAAGCCCCAGAGGAGGTCCTTCCTCCCCCTCTCCAGCTTCTGGTGGTTTGTGGGGAGCCCTTAGCTTGTGGACGCGTCACCCCAAACTTCTGTGTTCACGGGGCCTGGATACTTAGATGAGGGCCCACCCAGTCCAGCGTGACAGTGTCTCACCTCCTCACGTCTGCCGAGCACCTGTTTGCACACGAGGTCACGTTCTGAGGTTCTGAGGGTTAGGACCACAACACGTTTTGAGGGGACCCAATTCAGCTCATAGAGAGTGCCAGGTCTTAGATGCTTTCCATCTGTAACTTTCTGCCGTGAACTCTTCCATCTTGGAAATGTTCCCTTTGCTGACTCTTTGCAAAGAATCTGTTTTCCCAGGTTCCGTTCTAAGACTGGAACCGCCATCCCTCCCAGGACGGACCACTCCGTCCTGGAGCTGACGCCGCCTCCCCACCCCACCGCCCTGGAGCTGAGGGGCCTCTGAGGCCTCGCCCCGGGCGTTGCTGTGGCCAAGGGCATCAGCTCAAGCGCAGCGTCCCTGGGACTGGGGAGTGGCTCTGAGGGTGTAGCAGCAAGGATGTGATGGGGGCCCGTCGTCCTGCATCACTCGGTTAGGATCGTAGATCGCGGGGTTCTGGGGGCCCCAGGACAAACGTTTCATTTGAGGTGTTCCATGTCTTATTTCCACACAAATCAGAAGAACAGCAGAACAAACGCACACACCCCTATTGCAGATGTGGTCTGGGGGAGAGGCCCAATGATTCCTTTCTGACTTAACAAAGAAAACTCAGTACTACTTGTTTATTCCTTGAGGAGGCAGAGTGATCAAATTAACCATCACTATAAGCTTAAGAAGATCCCCTGGAGGAGGGCACAGCAACCCACTCCAGTATGCTTGCCTGGAGAATTCCATGGACAGAGGAGCCCAGCGGGCTACAGCCCATGGGGTTGCACAGAGCCGGACATGCCTGTCTGACTAAGCACATGTACTCAGGGGCGAGAAGTGGGTAACGGAGGCACCAGGAGGGAGTCCTGACTCGTGGCAGTTCTGGTGCCTTCTATAGACAGAGTCACCCCCGTACCCCCACCACAAGTACAGGCATCTTAGAGGGCTTGGCTGGAAATAGCCCTTGCAAGGAGACATTTTTGACTCCGTGTTTCTCTTCTTTTTCTTAAGTATAAAAAGAGAGGAAACATTTTTTTCCTTCTCATCTTGCTAAGATGTCCTCTTCCAATGAGTAGGAGGGCCTGTGTGTTCCAGGCTGGGTGATTGGAACCTATCAACTGGGGTGGGGAGATATTGCAAGAGTTATTTATGGCTGAGAGACTGAGAAGCTCAGAACTTAGGCTGCGGGAGGACGTCCACTGACAGGCAGCGCCATGGGCAGCAGTCACTAAATTGGGTCTGACTCTTTGTGACCCCGTGGACTGCAGCATGCCAGGCTTTCCTGTCCTCACCATCTCCTGGAGCTTGCCATCCAACCATCTCATCCTCTGTCGTCCCCTTCTCCTCCTGCCCTCAGTCTTTCCCAGCATCAGCGTCTTTTCCAAAGAGTCGGCTCTTCATATCAGGTGCTTCAGCTTGAGTATCAGTCCTTCCAATGAATATCCAGGGTTCATTTCTTTTAGGATTGACTGGTTTGTTCTCCTTGCTGTCAAAGGGACTCTCAGGAGTCTTGTCCAACACCACAGTTCAGAAGCATAGATTCTTTGGTGCTCAGCCTTCTTTATGGTTCAACTGTCACGTCCATAGATGACTACTGGGAAAACCATAGCTTTGACTGGATAGGCCTTTGTCAGCAAAGTGATGTCTCTGCTTTTTAATACACTGTCTAGGTTTGTCATAACTTCTTTTCCAAGGAGCAAGCATCTTTTAATTTTGTGGTTGCAGTCACCATTCACAGTGATTTTGGAGCCCAGAAAAATAAAATCTGCGTTGTTTCCAATTTTTCTTTATCTATTTGCCATGAAGTGATGGAACCAGTTGCCATGATCTTGAGTTTTTGAATGCTGAGTTTCAAGCCAGCTTTTTCACGCTCCTCTTCCACCGTCATCAAGAGGCTCCTTGGTTCCTCTTCACTTTCTGCCATTAGGGTGGTGTCACCTGCATATCTGAGGTAGTTGGTATTTCTCTCAGCAGTCTGGATTCCAACTGCAAAGCCTGCATGGGCCTCCCTGCGCCTCTCGGTGTTGCCTTTAGCTGGGTGTCCCTGTGGCCGTGTGGGCAGCCCTGTGGCATGGCCTCGTAGCCGGAAGCTCCTGCCCAGGCAGAGGTGGAGAGCGGGGACCTGGCGCCCACCTGCCCTCCTGGGAAGTGACCTGCGGCCCGCCCCCCTTCCCGCAGGTCGCATCCGAAACACCCCGGAAACGGACGAGTCTCTGATTGACCCTAACATCTTGTCACTCAGCATCCTCTCGTCCGGATACATCTGCCCGGCCCAGGACGACCGGTGAGTCCGCTCGGGGTCAGCGCTCACTGGAGGAGGGCCTGAGTCTCAGCCCCCCACCTGGCCTGCCTGGCCACGCAGGGCCCTGAGCTCTCCAGGCTTTCTTCCTGGCCCTCCAGGAGGTGGTGCGGGGAGGGGCCCGTGGCCGTGTGGTCCCCTGGCGAGCTGTTCCTCGCTCACCTGATGGAGGGGCACGTGGGCGTGGCTGGCGGAGGAGCCGGGTCCTGTCCTCAGGACTCTCGCGGGCGTGAGGCAGCATGGGGCAGTGGGCAGACAAACGGGCCGGATTTCCCAGGCACGCTGCTGCGGGCACATGTCCTGTTTGGCAGGCATCCTCCCTGTGGCCCAGGGTCCTGGAGGAGCTCAGGGTCGAGCCGGCCGGTGGTCTGGCATCCGGGTGGGGGTGTGCCCAACGGCATGGCTTGGCACACGCTCCTCCTCACTGGGTTTGCCGGGCTCGGGGGTTTTGGGGGAGAGGCCTCTGGGGGCCAGGCTGGGGTGGACAGCTCCCTGCCAGAGCCACCCTCCTGGGGGGACGTTGGTAGGCTTGGCTTTGTCTGAGACACTGCTTCCTGGGGGTGTGGGGACGTGGGGAGGGGGCTCCCAAGTCCCGAAGGCTCAACCTGGTCCAAAGGGCAGAAGCCGAGAGCTGACCCCGAGCTCCAGCTGTGGGCATCTCCATGGGCTCTTGAGCCGTGTTTGCAGACAGTATCTTGAGGGCTGGGTGCACTGGAGCAGGTGGGGCCCCCCTTGCCAGGGGAGCTGGATCCATAAGGATAAAGGGTCCTGGTCCAGACAGAGCTGGGCTTCCTCGCAGGCTCCCCGGAGAGGGGGCAGCGACCCCGCAGGGGCAGGCGTGGCTCTGTTCCAGCCCTGCCCTGGAACCTTCTGGAGGAAACGCAGCCTGCACTCGTGTCCAGAGGAGGGAGGGTTGGATGGGGATGCTGGGGGGTGTTCTCTCAAGGGTGGGGGCACCATGACAGGCAGGCCGGGCTTAGGGGAAGGGAGGTGCGGCACGTGCGGGTAGGCCCGTCGCCGTGGGGACACATCCTGGGGACCTGGCAAGAGGGCCTGGAGCCCTCTCATGGGCTGCCTGCGGGGACACGGGCCTCTGAGGGCGGACCTTGGGTGGGGCCGAGGGGACCCGTGTCACCAGGGAGGCTGACCTCAGCGTTCCCCCAATCTCTGACCCTCCCTTTGTCCTGGCAACACCTCTATTCTTGGGCTAGAAGGGGAGTGGACCGGGGAGAGGAGGGGGGTGTGGGTGCCTCTGGGACCGTGTCTCTGGGCTCCCGTCCTCCGGCTGGCACAGTGGCTGCGGGACACGTGGCCAGCCCCATCCTGGGCTCCGTCCTGGGGAGCTTAGGGGGCTGGACCTCAGGTCAGTGGGGCTTTGGCTGAAAAGGTTCGCCCTGCTCCTGGAAGTCAGAGCATCCATCACTGGCGGGCCCGGCCTGTGCCCTGGGGACCATGGGACGAGAGGCCAACTCGAGTGCGGGAGGTCAGGACCCCCGGGGCTCCAGGAAGCCCCTGACCAGAGTCCCTGCCCGCAGCTGCTTTGGCCCTTGCTTGGCTCCCCCTCTCCCTTGCTGTCTCATTCCAGCACGGCCCTGACCCGAGCCCCGCCCTGGGGAGAGTCTCGGGGACCCCCTCAGCGAGCGGCCCCAGGCAGGCGGTGTGCAGAGGCTTGGCTGGTCGACCAGCAGCTCCCCCAAGGGCCCTCTGTCCCCTGGACCCTGGCTGACATTCTCGGAGCTCCGCGGGTGATGGGGCAGGCCCTCTCCCCACCGGGAGACCTGGGCCGGCCTTGGGCCCCGCGCCTCGGCTGCCCGCCTGCTTCGCCGCAGCCCCGCCCCCCATCCCTGCTCAGGGTCCGCAGGCCTCCCGGCTCCGCTGGGCCGCCTCCACGCTGCCCCGCCTGCTCTGCTGCTGCCGCCCCCGGCCCCCCCAACTAACCTGTGATTGTTTGTGTTTTGCAGGCAGTTTCTTGATTCGGACATGCCTAGGTACCATCCGTGCCCCTGGTTTCTTTCAGCCTGCCCCCACTTCACAGCCCCGAGATCTCATTCCAGCTTTCGGGCCCCTCCACACTCGCTCACCTCCCCGTCTGTCTCTGCTGTCTTCTCCTCCCGTTTTATTTCCTTTTTCCTCTCCCCGTCACACCGCTTCCTCCCCATTGCCCTCTGCCCCCGCCCCGTCCCCCCCCACCCATGGCTGAGCACCCCAGCCCTCCACTCTCGATCTTGGCTGCTTCGGTAGTTTCTGCCCTTGTAGAAGATGGCTGGCCTCCCGCTCCCCTCCGCCTCCCGAGCCTTGCCCGTGCCCCACCCCGCCCCAGCAGGAGCAGGCTCCCGCATGCAGGCTGGCCGGCCCCCTCCCCGCACATTGAGAGAGCAAAGGGGGTGCGTAGTGGGCACAGGACGGGGGGCAGACAGGCACGGCCCGGCCCAGCCCTCCCCGCTCTGCCCCGCTGCCCCAGGTGTGGGCCCCCCACCCAGCCAGGCTCCTGGAGTGGCCGCCACACACCCTTCTGGAAGGGGGTGGGTGGTGAGGGGCGAAGGGCCCGGGCTCCGGACTCGCTGGTCCCAGGACCAGCCCCCGAGTCACAGGCTCCTGGGCCGAGCACGGAGATCCCTCCCCACCTGAGCTCTGGCCTTGGCGACCCAGAGCAGGGTCCTGGAGACCCTGGGGTGGACAGCCTCACAGTCCCTGTTACCGACGCTGTCCTTGAGGCCGCAGTCTGCTCTGGGCCCCTGTGGACTGTGGCCAGAGCTGGGCGCCCTGGTGTCTCTGTTCTGAAAGAGGAAGGGAGCAGCAGAAGACCTCCAATGAGGACACCTGGTCCTTGAAGGGGCGCAGGGCACGGGACGGTGCCTGCCCCTTCTCAGGGTGGGGCCCAGAGCACAGGGTGGGGTCAGGTCTGGTGCGACGTGTTGGGATGGATGGTCATTCTGAATGTGCCCTGGGCAGCTCTAGCTGAGGCCTCAAGGGGTGGTCAGAGGCTGTAGTTCCTGTCAGCGTGTCCCCAGGGCATGCGCACCTGAGGCAGGATCAGGCCCTCCCTGGGAGCAGGCAGCTGGCTGTGGGGGGGACTCTGTCAAGGAAGACCTGTGGTAAGGCTGCACTAGAGGAGGGTCACATCCCTGTGGGGCCCAGAGAGCATGGACCTGCCCCTCTTGGGTAGCCTGGAGGGCTTCCTGGAGGTTGCAGCCTGCCAGCTGGTCCTGGAAGCAAACTTTGCCCGCCATGGCAGCTGCAGCCTGCAGTCCGCCTGTTCTCAGAGAGCTCTGGGGTTCATCCCTGGAGGGGACCCGACTTCGGGCCTGTTTCCTTGATAAGTCCATCAGTACGATCACACAGGGGTATGGGCATTTTGTTCCAGTTTGCGTGTCCACAACCAGCCTGGTGTGACAGAGGTGTGTACACCCCCTGCAGATACATCACGAAATAGAAACATTCCCTGTGGCCAGAAGGAGACCGCCTCAGGGTGGGGTGGGGGTGGGGCTCCTACTCAGCAGGACCTAAGCACCAGCCCCCAGGCTGCAGAAGGGCCTCACCCCAGCCCCTAGGTGCAGAGCACAGTGGCCTTGGCCTGCAAGAGGAGGCCCAGAGTGCTGGGAAGGGTGAGGGGTCAGAGCCCCGAGCCTTGGGCTAGGGCCTGCTTCATGCAGCAGGAAACTGCTGTGGTGGGAGGTTCTGGGGATGAGCAGAAGGTGCCATCTTGATGTCTGGGGTGGGGTGGGGCCTGGGGGCTGCACCGGCTGGCCGGGTTGGCTGTGTGAACGTGCACGTGTGGCAGGATCTTCTGGAGCCTGTGGTCTGTCCCCTAGGCCGGGGACTCTGAGGGCTGCCTCAGCGTGTGAGACTAAATGAGATGAACGGGACAAGCTCTAAGGAGGGGCCTTGCACGTGGAACTTTATTAATGTGTGTAGTGTGGTTATTTTCACTGCTACCTTGTTGTTCAGTCACTCAGTTGTGTCCGACGTTGTTGTTCCCTCGCTCAATCGTGTCTGACTCTTTGCGACCCCAGGGACTGCAGCACGCCAGGCTTCCTTGTCCTTCACCATCTTCCAGAGCTTGCTCAAACTCACGTCCAGAGTCGGTGATGCCATCCCACCATCTCATCCTTTGTCATCCCCTTATCCTCCCACCTTCAATCTTTCCCAGCATCAGGGTCTTTTCCAGTAAGTTGGTTCTTCAAATCGGGTGGCCACAGACTGGAGTTTCAGCTTCAGCATCAGTCCTTTGAATTAATATTCAGGATTGATCTCTTTTAGGATGGACTGGTTTGATCTCCTTGCCATCCAGGGGACTCTCTAGAGTCCTAGCATTTAATTTGAAATGCTCCTAAAGCACAAACCTCCTCAGCAAAGAGCCTAGTTTTTAAAAAGCTAACCACACCTGTTTTCCAGAAGAGCCCTGCTGAGATGCTGGGGTCTCACTCTCACAGTAGGGAGTGAGGAGGAGAGGTGATGACCCAGCCTGACCCACGAAGAGTGAGGTCAGACCTTCCACCTTCCACCCTATCCGTGCATCTTACCTGGGCTCACTCCCTTGCCCTGGGCTCCTGGTGCCCGGGGCAGCAAGGGGCCACGAGACCCTATAAAGTAAGGCAGTGTGAGGCTGGGGAGGACAGTGGTCCACAGTGATCCTAAAGTAAGGTGGCGTTGAGGCTGGGGAAGTCGGTGGTCCACGGTGACCCTCACCCCTCCCACCAAGCACAGGATCGGATTTCTCCAGGCAGGTAGCTCAGGTGCCCCAAGGGCTACCCCAGCCTCCCTGGGACAGGCCCGGGTTGGGAACTTGTGAAGTCTCCTCTCTGTCCTATTTGCTGCGCCATCTACAGGACATGACCCCCACTCACTCATCCATTCATCCTTCACACAGGGCACGACTCCTACTCATTCATTCATTCATCCCTCACATGGACAGGACCCCACTAACTCATTTATTCATCCATCACACGGGGCACAAACTCCACTCACTGACTCATTCATCTGTC